TAACACAAATTGTTTGCTTCATTGATATAAGTATAAAACTTGGGCACTGTGGTAGAGTATAATTCCATAATGGATAAGATTTTATTTTGATAAATCACACAGTGTAGTACAGTTATATTAACTGATGACGTTTCGAGCACAAACTATTGCTCATAATCATATCAAGTTACTCACACAACTTCTTTCCTTCATTTATATACATGTGTGCTTCATTTATAAACATAAGTAAAAATTGATGATTAGACATTTGATTGAATAAAATCAATATAAGATGAGAAAGTACATTCAGAAATAATATTATTAGTGTTATCAGTCAAATACAATAAGATGGGAAATAAGATGTTTTTCATAGTAAAATAAATAAACAACTTGTTAGAATGTGATAATGTGAATTGAATTGAATACATTTTAAGATTATTTATCATCCTCCTCTGATTTGACTGACTGGTGGTAATAATATCTTCCATATCTCTGGTATTTGCGTTGAGTCACTTCTATTGCATGTGTTGTGTTGGTTGTAGATTATTCGATGAACAAGGATTCAGTAATCAACCACTCTCTGTGTCTCTACCTACCTATATTACTTTTTAGAATTCTGACTCTGTCCCACACACACCCCATTGAATGTGTGGTTGTGTATTAATGCATGCAATGCGATTGATGAGCTTTTTGTTTCTAAATTACTTATCTTCGCAGGTGGCGTCAATTATTCTAACTTTAGATAAATTCTTATGTTCCGATAATCTCACTACTCCTGATCTACTAGTTTGACTTATATGTAGATATATATGAAGTAAAAAGTTGTGTGAGTGACTTGATGTGATTATGAGCAATAGTTTGTGCTCGAAGCGTCATCAGTTAATATTACTGTATAAGACTGTGTGGTTTGTCAAAATAAAGTCTTATCTATAATGAAGTTATACTCTACTACAACAGTGCCCAAGCTTTATACTTATACCAACCTCGTAGACCATTCTACCACTGGAATCCGACTCAGTGGCCGTTCTATGAATCCTTACTTCTACCAACTCGGGATTTTAGTGAGACTGGCACCAGCTAATATCATTGGCGACCATCTGTTCTCACTCTCGACAGGATGAACCCCATTGTTCAATAGACTTCTCACTAGAACTAACTCCAAGAAACTCAGTCCTGTAACCAGTTACCCCTAGCCATTAACAGATTAATTTTCAAGAGTTGGTTCGTGGGGATTAGATTGATATCACAGTTAGAAAACCACTGAAAACTAGAGAGTACCGGACAGCTATTTCGTCCTAGTTTAAGACACATTGGCAGTGCGTACCCACCGCAAGGTTTCGAACCCACTTACAAGGCAAGCTCATAGACCATTCAGCTACCATGACCCAACTAAATGGCTAGCCCATGAATTATAACTTCTACTAATTCGTGATTTTAGTGCGACCACGATATACATGCTGTAGGTAAGGAGTCGTTTTTTCAACACTCCTCCTCACTGAAACTGTATGCAGAGGAATAAGATTAATGATGTTTTTTGATGAATGCTGAAGATGCAATTCTGTATCGAAAGACACAAGTTTGAATGAAGAACGCTATTTCGCTCGCTGCTCAGCTGAGAGAGCATCTATCTAACAACCAGGAGGTCTTTAGTTTGAATACTGTAGCGATCTAATATTTTCAATTTACTTTCATGCATTACTCATCTCATAAAAGATGATATATGTTCATATTTGAAATGTAGAACATCTCTTTTGAGATATTTAAGAAACATTAGGCTGATTGTTTTGATAATAACCTCTATTTTTCCATTGGTTTACAGCAATCTAGACCTCAGGTCATTAGAAAATAATTCTGGCTCTGTGAGCTAAGTTAAACTGTCTAGGTGCACAACTGATGTACTCTGCCCTAAACGAGTGAAACAGGCATTTGATTTTTAGATTAATTTGATCTGGTTTTAATTTAACATCAGAACACATTGGTTCCATTATGGATAAGATTTTATTTTGATAAAGCCTCACACAGTGTTTGTTATACAGTAATATTTACTGATGATGACCCCTTTTCGAGCACAGTTTATTACTACTGCTCATAATCATATCAAGGCATTACACACTCACACAACTTTCTTGCTTCATTTATATACATGAGTAAAAACTGATGATTAGACATTTGAATAAAATCAATATAAGATACGAAAGTTCATAAGGAAATAATAATATGAGTGTTATCAATAAGATGCAATAAAATGGGAAATAAGATGTTTTATAGTAAAATAAATAAGTAACTTGTTAGAATGTTATAATGCGAACTGAATTGAATATATATTTTAACATTATTTATAATCCTCCTGTGATTTGACTGACTGGTGGTAATAATATCTTCGACACATTTCTCCAGTATTTGCATTGAGTCACTTCTATTGCATATGTTGTGTTGGTTGTAGATTATTCGATGAACAAGGATTCAGTAATCAACCACTCTCTGTATCTCTACCTATCTGTATTACTTTTTAGAATTCTGACTTTGTCGCACACACTCCATTGTATGTGTGGTTGTGTGTTAATGCATGCAGCGGGATTGATGAGCTTCTTCTTTTTAAATTACTTATCTTCTTAGGTGGCGTCGATTATTCTAACCTTAGCTAAATTCTTATGTTCTGACAGGCAATCTGACTACTCCTGATCTACTAGTTTGACCTATATATATATCAGTTAATATTACTGTATAACAAACACTGTGTGATTTATCAAAATAAGATCTTATCTATAAAGAAGTTATACTCTACCACCACAGTGCCCATGTTTTATACTTATATCAAGCTCAAAGACCATTCTACCACTGGGACCTGACTCAATGGCCATTCTATGAATTCTTACTTCTTTAGCGAGACTAGCACCACCCAATATTACCGGCGAGCATTTGTCCTTACTCCCAACTGGAAGGACCACACTGGTCACTAGACTTCTCACTAGAACTCCAGTAAACTTCTTACTGTAGCCAATCACCCCTAGCAAGCAGTAGATTAATTTTCAAGAGTTGGTTCGTGGGGATTTGGTTTGTTTTTTCAAGTTTGACCATGGATTGATATCACAGTTAGAGAACCGGTGAAAACCAGCACGGAATACTGGACAGCTGTTTCATCCTAGGTTGGAACTCATTGGCAGTACGCACCCACTGGGGTTTGAACCGAGGACCTTCCAGTTACAAGTCAAGCTCATAGACCATTCAGCTACCATGACCCAACTAAATGGCTAGCCCATGAATTATAACTTCTACTAATTCGTCATTTTAGTGCAACTACCATATACATGCTGTAGGTAAGGAGTCGTTTTTTTCAACATTCCTCCTCATTGAAACTGTAAGCAGAGGGATAAGATGAATGATGTGTTTTGATGAATGCTGAAGATGCAATTCTGTATCGAAAGACACAAGTTAGAATGAAGAACGCTATTTCGCTCGCTGCTCAGCTGAGAGAGCATCTATCTAACAACCAGGAGGTCTTTAGTTTGAATACTGTAGCGATCTAATATTTTCGGTTTATTTTCACTCATTACTCATTTCATAAAAGATAATATATGTTCATATTTGAAATGTAGAACATCTCTTTTGAGATATTTAAGAAACATTAGGCTGATTGTTTTGATAATAACCTCTATTTTTCCACTGGTTTACAGCAATCTAGACCTCAGGTCATTAGAAAATGATTCTGGCTCTCTGAGCTAAGTTAAACTGTCTAGGTGCACCACTGATGTACTCGGCCCTAAACGAGTGAAACAGGCATTTGATTTTTAGATTACTTTGATCTGGTATGCATGGCATCAAACTACTCACATTTGATCCATCAGTAGTATATCACACCATTCTTTTGTGCTTGATTTCTTGATGAACGTTTACGATAACAAGCAGATGGTATACTGTGTCGCATTATGCATATATTATTTCTCCAGTTTCCGAAGGAATACATGGTAAAATTTCACCTCGATTTGTCTAATTTCCAAAACAACAACTTTAGGAACATGCGAAGAACTTTTTACGCAGCATACCGATGTTTGTCATTCTCTAGCCAACGAATGATTGGGACGCAAACGAAGGATAAGCTAGATAGCCGTTGCCACATCTATGTGCATTTATCAATTCAACTGCACCTGCGGTGACAGTTATGTTGGGCACACTACTTAGCCAACGCGTGTTACTGAACATCTCCCATCGTGGTGGTTTGACAAAGGCCAGACAAAACAATTCGTAGCTCAGTTTTGTCACATTTAGTTTGATAGTGGTCATGTAGTGGAGAAAACGAGAGCTTTCAAGGTAATTCATTGTATCCCACGGAATCTTTGTATTCGTCTACTGCACACAGCTGAGGAGCTAGGCATTCGAACTATAATAAACCTAAACTATGCATTCAAAAGAAGCTCGTACAGCCATTATCCCTCTCATGTTTGCCTATTAAGACATTACCAACTAATGACTTCTACACCACCCTTTACTTATATTTTCAACCCCTCTCTTATCATCCTTTAATCTTATCACATCTTCATTGAAAACGTGTTTCATTTACTTCCCTTATAATCTAGCATTACTCAATCGATTCACTTGCCTTTCTGAGCCTTTATCGACCACTACTTCTATCTGAACATTTGTTTGTTTAATCATGCTGTTTCGCGTTATTATTGTTATCAAAGATTGCCTCGCTTTTTCATCTTATTATTGATAGAACCATTATTATTATTGTCATTACTATTATTATGACTAATTGCACAATTTATATTCACCATCTTATTATCCTATTGACAAAACACCATGATTGACTTATATTTGAATTTTTACTTGTAAAGTTATGTAGGCATATTAGAGTTAAGCCTGATGAGATCTAACTGAAAGCAGAATATTGATCGTTTAAATGTGTTGTTCTAAATTTCATTCAGCCTTTAACAGACTGTCAAACTTCCGATATGGACACTTTGGGGATATTTTTAAGTGAACCAAATACACACAGGTGATTTATTTAACCTAATACTTACATAAGAACAGTTATCCGCAGACATGCTTGTCTTTGGCAGTAAATGAAGTGATTTCGGTAGACTTATTGTTAGTTTCTTCAGACTTTTTGCTGAAATCTGTCTTTTATTTTTAATTGTTTCATAATCAGTGGTCGACTGTAGTGGTAATGGCGTTGTCTGTAAAACAGAAACAGAAGGGAGAAAAAGTAACAGTTAAAAATTTTAAAAAACAACATATCACATCCAGGCAGATGGATATTATAAATATAGAAACAAAAATAAAGTTACTGCCAACAGAGTACACACTTTTGGATGTAGTTGTGTACTCTGAGCTGGATGGTTTATACTTGCGAAGCTGTCATTGCCCTACTAAGCAACATCTTCAGCACATACTTCATTCTGTTGAAGTGAGCTTTCAGATTTCTCCACGAGTTTATTAGTCATCTCTTCTGTTGGGTAACCTTGAATGGGATTGGTTGTTTTTGTGTGGTTACACACCCTCTAGACTGTTCCTTGTATTGGTGTCGGTGCTGATTGTTTCCTTGAGGTGAAGTTTGACCATTTGTGTATGAGATTTCCTTCTTATCGATCCATAGGTTTTGTCTATGTGAGTGTGTCTATTAATTGACGATTCACTGGAATACCAGGCAGGCTTCTAAAAATTCTCTAGCATTCTTATTGTTTCCTCTGTCTAATATTTGAACGCTGGTTGTTCCAGTTGAATTGATGTCCGTGGTTTTCTGTATGCAGTGAGGCGGCATGAGTGAGGGAGTGGATGTCATGTTTTCTTCTGACGGCTAGTTTATGTTCATCGATATGAAGACTTTGGCCAATGCAGTGTTTTTCGCATTTCACTGGACATGACCATAAAGTAGTCTTCAAAAGACATGACATCCAATCCCTCAAATCACCTCACTGCATACAGACAATGACGGACATTTGATTGACCCAGGATATCTTGAATTTCTTCAAAGTGGTAAACAAACAAGAAACTTAAAGCTCTCTGAAGTTCATTGAGGCCATCTCTAGCAAACAGTTAAAAGTTGGTTTATGTAGTGACTCAATACAAATATCAGACAAATGTGTGGAAGATATTATTACCACCAGTCAAATCAGAGGAGGATAATAAATAATGTTAAAATGTATTCAATTCATATTGTAACATTCTAACAAGCTATTTATTTATTTTACTATAAAAACATCGTATTTCCCATCTGATTGTATTTGATTGATAACACTAATATTATTATTTCTGAATATACATTATCCTATATTGATTTTATTCAAATGTCTAATCATCAATTTTCTACTCATGTATATAAATGAGGCAAGAAAGTTGTGTGAGTGAGTAATGCCTTTGATATAATTATGAGCAGCAGTAATAAATTGTGCTTGAAACGTGGTCATCAGTTAACATTGCTGTACAACAAACACTGTGTGACTTTATCAAAATAAAATCTTATACATAATGAAGAAGCATACTGGTGAATATCCACATACACATATATACCTTCGAATTGTTTAATTCTCCATTTTGTATTTGTTCATTTTGTTGTCGTAGTTGTTGCTTCTGTTTCTGCTGTAGTTGTTCTTGCCGTTGTTGTTGTTGCTGACTTGGTCGTTTCTGTTGTATAGACAGTAGCAGTTCATCATAGTTCACCTCTATTGGTATTAATTTCGCATAATCCATAGCAGTGCTTAGATCAAATTTATCCATTAACCTTAATTCATATTGTTCCGATGCTGCTGTTGTTGTTGTTGATGACGCTGGCATATCGAATATAGGCCAGTAGTGTTGTGGTGTTGTAAAACTAGCCATTAATTGATCATAGTTATATGTACATGGTATAGGCAGAAGACAAGATGATTGATTTGTGTTACTATTACCTGCGGGAGGATTATTCCCTAATGTGATTGGCATTTCATCTGTAAGTAGATCACGATCAGATGAATACTTTTGATGAGGTAATTGACTACCACATTTGTGCAAGGGAATTGATGGAATTGACTTGCCAGCCATGTTAGTGAACTTTTCGATAACTGAATTTAGGGGGTGGGGTGGAAATGACATAAAACAGACATCATAAAAGTTTACGATAAAGTGTGAAAATAAAAAACAAAACTGACACTGAAAACAATCCACTGGTTATGCCCCAATGGCATGACCCGCTAACTACGTCGGAAATGGTGATAAGGTTGCGAGGGGACATAGCCAGATATCATAGCTATGCACGCGAAGAACTTCAACGGGCACAAGAGCGACAGAAACACTACTATGATCTGAAGCAGTGGGGCCCACCATTCAAGATAGGGGATAAGGTGTGGCTGCGTCAACCACCGACTGCCAACTTGAGTCGTCATAAAGCCCCAGCACAGTGGACAGGACCATATGTGGTATACCGCAGAGTAACGGACAACACCTATGAAATTCAAGAAGACAACGACAACCTCCAGAGAATGATAGTGCACTTCAACCGTCTGAAACCGTCCAGACCAAACCGACAGGCATCGAGGAAAACTCCGCCTAACCCTGATAACCATAATAACCATATGTTTCTTTCTCTTGCAGGGACGATGCCGAGGCGGGGAGAAAGAAAGACTGAAGTCGCTGGGGACAGCTTTTTGAAAGTGAGGGGGTCTTGTAGTGGTTCAAATTTGAAAGGAAGCGTCAGTTCAAAAACCGGTGGATGCTGAACTGTAAAAGCCTAGCTCTTTGTATCTACATGTATATTTTTTGGACTTCTGCTCGTGTAATTTACTGTCAGTTATAAAGTACTTTTCCTCAAGTCGTGTTCTGCTTCTTCGCTCTACCCTGCGTGCTTGACCGGTATAATTGTTTGTGTTGTTCTATTACAGAAATCTGTTGCACTTAGCGCACTAATGCCAAGTCAGAGCTTCTATATGGTTCAGCGACTTAGCGCATTACGAAAACCACTTCTAACAGCCTGTTGAAGACCTTCATCAGCACCTGCCTTTTTTCGCTCCATACTGACGATCAAATGGTTGACGAGAAATCATAAGCAAGAAGAAACTCTCGGAATGAATCAACCAATAACCTACTGCCCAAGAAATATTTTGAAATAAACGGAGATGGATGGGACACACGATGAGGAAACCGTTCAGTGACTGACATCACGTCCCAACTAGTCGAAGGGAACGTGAATGTGAAACAATGAATCGGGTGCGGGTTGGAGGGTAATATGGAGGAGATAATAGGTCATAGGCAATCGTGGAGCCTCCTAAAGAGGATTTCGGAGAATCAGATGGAACGGAGACGTGCTGTTGAAGCGCTACACTTCACTCAGAACCTGAATGAATAATAGCGTGGTGAGAGCTGTCTTCCAGCCAAGATTGTAAATAACAGTTGACGTCAATGTTTACCTCCAGAATCGGGGGCATGAGAATTAATAAGAACAAAGCCTAACCTTGAGGAACTCAATAACCAATCACAGTAGAATAAGCGTGAGCGGATACAATTAGCAGATATATCACCGGACTGTCTCAGAAACGGCAACAAAGAGATGAGAGAATAACCTTCAGTAGGAAAACAATCAATCGGAAGATGTTGCTTCTCTGCTAACAATAACGAATAATAATGTCTTCTGTCGTTACAATAGTATATGTATAAATGTATCTAATTATAATTACCGTGAAATATAACTCAAATGACAGTGTGTTTATAATCCTCGAATTCAGTCAACATTGCGAAGTCAAGGCTATATCTGCGGCTGCATACTTCGAATCTCCTAAACGTATCAAATGCTTATAGTTAGTAAGCTATTTACTTATGCTCCCCTGAGCAATCGAAATTTATTTGATTCCCAATAAGGTTAAGTTTCCACTCTAATCGATAAATAGTACTTCATACATACTGGAGTTATTTCAAATCTCCGGTTAATTGGATTTACTTGACTGAAATACGCGGTCTCTGTTGATATTTCCATTTCAATATTTCTATTACAATCTCTTCAGCTAGGCCTTGAAGATATCTTGAAGTTATGTGATTGGTATTAACTAGCAGCAGACATCTGGGCTGGTTGCATCTGGATTTCAGTGAGTGAGGGTGTTCCCACTGATTTCCGAATCCAACATGCATTTTTTCAAACGCCGAAGCATTACACACTAAGCTTAGCAGCCTGGCTAGATGTTAAGCTTGAGCGTCAGTGGTTACACCGCTACTTAGTTATTCCGAGAAAGAAAGGAAGACGAAATTTACGGTATAAAATGATATCAACAGTCTATTTCACAGGTTCTCACCAGCTGCACATCACTATCCGAAATTACACTCGTTATATAGATGATAATAACATACTTTAATGTTTAAGTGGGCGTAGTACAGAAGAAATACTATAAAATTGACGCATCCAAAATGAAAGCATTACAATTTTTAGTTTAAGTTTTCATCATCAAATTATACGCTTTCAAAGTAGAAAAGAGGGAGGAAGGGAGATGTAAGAGAGAAAACAGACTTAATTAACAAACAGTATTAGCTTGTAGGTTCATATAGCAACTAACTAATGTAATCGAAAATTCAATTACCAAGGGAGTGAGAGATTAATTTCACTCTCTTTCTGTGTGCCTAAGTCTGCTTCCAATCGGTTACAGGATTTCATCATGACCTAACGTTGGTTAGATAACCATTGGAAAACCACCAGGGAGTGCTGGACAGCTGTTTCGTCCAAGTTTGGGACTCTTCATCAGTACGCACCCACCACAAGGGTTTGAACCCAGGACCTTCTGGTTACAAGGCGAGGAGAAGTTAGAATTCATGGGCCATAGGATCGTGTCCCGGTGGCTTAATGGTCTACGAGCTAGCTCGCTAGCCTCGTAACCAGAAGGTCCTGGGTTCGAACCCCTGTGATGGGTGCGCAATGCTGAAGAATCTCAAACTAGGGCGAAACAGCTGTCCAGTACTCCCAGATTTTCTGATGGTTCTCTAACCGATGTCAGCTCATGATGAAGTCTTGTAGTCAATACTTGAATATCTGGTTTGAATCGTTTGATTGCGATCGCTTCGGCAAATCGTAGAAAATTTACTGTCCTTTGTCTAATTAATATTTTGAAGGACATAGAAATCTCTATGAGATGACCAGTATCAACGAGATGCCTGGTAGTTATTCGTCTAACCGCGGACGAAACACTCATAACGAATTATACTTCTAGCCACGATGGTTGTGAGACATGGCCATCGGAAGTGGAAGACCTGAAGAGACTACCTGTCTTTAGACACAGATGTTTGCATTCTATTCCCCACACTAAGAGGTATAATATTGTGAGTAGTATTAAGGTTAGACCCGGAGTTTTAGGTTAGGGGGATTGTTGGGAATGTGAATCGACTGACATGGCTAGTGCATGTGTTACGCATGGCTAGCCACTGCCTTCCTTGATGGGCAATGTTAGCCGACATCGGATTAGGCTGGAAAAGAGCTAGGGCTGGTTAAACCAATACCCTGGATCAATCCATGAGCTCCGCAGAGAGGTTTAAGTTGCTTTGTTTGGGTTTTCGGGATGCTAAGATCCAATGACTGGAGACTGTTGGTGATATGACTAAAAACTATTCTCAGTGGCACAAATATACACTAAGTCCACTTTTATACGAAGTTCCACAATGAACCTCAATCAGTCACTCCGTCAGTACTGATTTATACTGAGTAAAACGTTAAACTAATTTTCATGTAACTTCAAATATGATAAAATTTATTTCATACCTGAATTTTTATCATCCATAGTTGACGATGACGACGATGTTGAAGTTTGTTTTAATTTTTTCAATCTTTTAATCATTCTTTGTTTAATAATCACACTTGAAACAATTGAACGAAATTTTGAAATTATATCAACTCTATACAACCATTTTGCTTTACTAAATTCTACCAAATGGAATTTTGGTTCAGTTAATAATCGCCCCCCATTGATTGTTGATTTCATGAATGGATCGACTGGACGACATGGACGAAAGTCATATGAAAGTAATAATTGGTTGTTTCTATTTGATGTCATGTCGACAGATGAAAGTGATGATATCTGTTCCAGGACTTCTGGATGTGTACAAGTAGACTAATTTTTATTTTGAAAAAAATTTAGAAAAAAGAGGGAAATAAAAGATAACTACATTAAATCGTACCACGTTTAAAAGGGAACCTATCATCACAGCTTATGTTATTACTTTACTTTTATTTTCTCCTTGTATTCCCAGTGGGACTTAGGAATTCAGCGGCACACCTATATTCAGCTTAGCTCTATGAAATCACTTTCAGCTGGTTGAAAAGGCTTCAATTTCCTGCTAATATGATCTTCTCTTCAGACACCCAATTCACTGCTCCCATTTCAGGTTCTTTTTGAGTGTTTGGAGTACGAACATGTTGACCACTTCACCAACGGATTGATTGGTGACGAAATCTCAGCACGGATCCAAAAAGCTCGAGCTGCTTTCGCTAACTTACACCATCTCTGGCGTAGGCGTGACATCTGGCTATCAGTGTGTAATGCTCAGTAGTTCGCTTCGTCCTTCTCTATGGTTCTGAAACATGGCTAATACGAGTTGAAGACATGAAAAGGTTGACTGTTTTTGATCATAGATGTCTACGATCTGTTTCTCACGTTAGGTGGTATAATAAGGTAAGTAATGTTGACGTTAGGCGTAGAGTGTTGGGCAAAGAGGGAAAATCAATTGAAGAGGCTATAAAGTTACATAGATTGAGATGGCTAGGTCACGTGCTGCGCATGCCTAACCATCGCCTCCCCCAACGGACGGGCATTACTAGCTGATATAGGTAGGTGCAGGTTGGAAAAGAGTAAGTGGTGGCCAAGCAAAAACATGGCATCAATCCACGAAATCCTTGACAGTTAGACTGAGTCAGGTAGGGAGATGCAGACTTCCGGGTTGGGGTCCTCGGGACTCGAAGAATCGATGGCTGGAGACACTAGGTGACATGGATCAAAATCGTTGTCAGTGGCGCAGATATATTCAGTCTCTGTAATCTTTCATATTCCTTTCTACCATTACTCATTCTGTTTCACTCTTATACTTATCTAAATTTTATTGATTCTCTTCTCTCATTTTCCTGTCTACCTTTGTATGCTATTTGGAACGTGGCAACTCGAACTGCTGCACTTCGGTGCCAAGTTCTATGTTGAATCCAGACAGACAGAGACAGACATTTTGGAGTACGGTATTAATTGAATATCTCTTTAATTTTATATCCAGTCCATCTCCATTCTCGTCTGCATATTTGTTAGGTAGAAATCTCGCCGAAGTTCAACAATAGCGTCCAAGGAGTGCGAAAGCTCAAATGACCTTGAACACTTGCTAGTCATTGGTTGAGGAAACTTACCATTATTCTAGTGCGAAAATGAGCGGTGTTCATCTGCTAAGTTGCAAATTTCACCCAGATCACGTATTTCAATACTACCTGGATAATGGATTGATAGTGATTTCTCGTATATGTAGCTGTTGTGTTTCAATGAACCTGCAGTCGCATTCCCAGGACATTGCTGGATACATATTTAGATGTACAGAGTGTAGGAAAGGAATAAGTGTTCGTACTTGTAAGTGACACTCTCAGTTAATTGTCTTCTAGGAACTTTCTTTGCTAAATCGAAACTTTCCTTGACGAATGTACTGTTTCTGTGCCATTAATGGATTTTGAAGTCCGGTATGAGATTAACTGCCGCTCTAACAGATAATACATTGACGTCTACTGTGAAATGGTTCAAATTTTGTCGAAATTTGGCGTCATGGAAAATGAACAGTATTACACAAGTTTTCGGAGGAGTCGGTGTTGTCGTTCATATCGACGAAACGGTCCTTATAAAGAAGAACTGTAATCGGGGACGTGCTAGAGAAAATAACGTTTGGGTATTGGGGATTTACGACACCCAGATTCGGAAAGGATTTATTGAACTTATTCCAGATAGGAGTGCTAACACTCTTCTCCCTATTATTCAGAGACTCAACTTGCCAGGCACTATCATTCACACGGATGAATGGGCAGCATATAACCGATTATCCGATTTGGGATATATACACCACCGAGTTAACAATTCGGATGACTTCGTCGATCCCAGAACCGGTACTCATACTAATTCAATAGAAGGTTTCTGGGGAAGACTAAAACATGGAATAAGAGCTATAAGCAGATCACAAAATCAAGTTATTTCCAGTCACCTAGATGAATATATGTATAGGAATTGGTTTAATTTAAAAACTGAAACTCCCCATTATAATTGGGACATCCTTTTATCTCATATTAAACAAAAAATACCCTGTTTAATGTTTTTTCATGCTTTTTTATGCAAATATACGTAATTTTTTATGCAAAAATCCCCTACTTTTCTGATTGGTCGACTCAAGGTCACTCGTGCGTTCGCATCCCTTGAGACATTATTGTAGAACATTGCCGAAATCTTTTGACTGCTTCTTTGCCGGAGTTTCTGACTGTTTCTCTTTTTTCAGCACTTGATCGGCAGTATCCAGTGAGAGCAGAAGTTGACGAAGGTCTACAACAAGCTGTTAGAAATGCTTTTCGAGATGTCTGAGCAGAGTCTGTCAGTGATACAGAAACAGACTTTGAGTTAGTATTTCCAAATTACTTCTCGGTGGATGCTTTTGAACACCATTTCAAACGTCAATGAGGTTGAGGTATATTGATAACTGCAATTTAAGACTCTGGGCTGTGGTGACGCGTAGCATTGCAGTTTGGTCCACAGATGACTTGTTTTTCCTGAATCCAGCCTCTTCAGCACTAAACACTCAACATAATTGCACAGAAATTTCATACATTTATTCCCTTTAATGAATTTGAATAAAGCAAGAACAACAGAGGTTTTTGCAGAATAAAATGGTACCATCAGTGTTTATTTCGTTGGCTTCTCATCGGCTGCTTACAGGCCAAAGACATTATTTAAATATATCTACAGAAACAATTTTAACAAACTTGCACAGAGTTCATTTTAAACAAAAATCAGTCGATCAATATACGCATACACTAATAATATATATATATATATACATAATATTAAACACTATTCCAAACAGTAATGATCATACACAATGGAAACTTTCGGCATTACTTAATCAGGTGAAAGAGAGATGAAAATATCCAGTTACCAGGCAGGGCAAAGAAAGACTGATAACCGCTTCTTTCTGAACGCACAAATCAGGTTTCAGGCGCTTGATGAAAATGGCTTCAGCAAACTTGAGGAGAATTGAACTCTTCTGTCTATTGATAATTTTGAACGATCTTGAGACGCTCACCTCACGACCCATATCAAGGAAATGCCTGGCGATGGCACTGCTTAAAGCATTTGTTCAATTTAGACATAAACGTTTTGATACATATTCAGAAAATCGTAGATATGCCCTTCTTCTTTCTGTTCTTCCAATGTAACTGCTCCCACAGATACATGTAAATTTGTATATACAATTGGAGTTAACATGGGAAGGATATCTATCGATTTTCGATTGCACCAAAGAGCAAGTTGTTCGATAGACGGGAACCAACTTAGCTAGCTGCAGTGTTTTCACCTTTATAATCAAGTTGAATGTAGATTGGTTTTTTTCTCCACTGTGATTTGTTTGACATTTGACCTTATTACGGTATGCATATAATAATTGATTGATTTTTGTTAAAAAATGAACTCTGTGCAAGTTTGTTAAAATTGTTTCTGTAGATAAATTTAATAATGACTTTGGCCTGTAAGCAGCTGATGAGAAGCTAACGAAATAAACAATGATGGTACTATTTTATTCTGCAAAAACCACTGTTGTTCTTACTTTATTCAAATAAGTGAACAGGTTGGTAAGAAATGCATAAGGATAAGTTGTCATAGATACCGTCATCATGATCGGCGTTTATTTCACTGGCGAAAAATCCTAGAAACTTGCTTTTATGTGAAAACTGATTACATCATTTATACTGTTATTTAATGACTGTTGTACAGCTCAGTTGTCTTTTCAAAGGAATACTGGAGCTACTAAAGCACTTAAAAGTTACCAAAACACATTGAAAGTCACATTGTCTCCACTAGTTTCTTTAAATAATTAAAATGTCATGTGAAATCCATGGCCGACACACTCTCAAACGTTGCCTAGCAGGTGGTAAGCCCAGGGATAGATGGAAGGTTGGAGATAAGTCCAGAAACCCCACCGCGTTAAAAGCAACACCACTGCTACTCGAACTGCAAAACCTGAAGTTTTAAGCCCCATGTTCCACTTGTAATGCCAACGATTAAAACCTTAAGAAATATAGTTTAGTGAGAGTAATCGTTTTGTACATCTCCACATCACACAACGTTCGATCATACATATACGGAAAGTTACTGCAGTTGGCCTCCTCATTTTTTTTATTTCTCAGTTCACCGTATCCTGAAGATTAAAGGGTGTCAGTTGTACTCTGAGTTTGAATTCTAGCCCTATTATTAAACACCAACCAACTTGTTTTGAAAGAAAAGATAATTCTGTCACACAGTCCGATTTCAGAAACTTTTTTCATGCTGAAATATGTGTGGATAAAAAGCTTATCAAACGATGGAAGCTCTAGTATTCCATATGCTAAGTAAAAGACAAATCACTATCACACCATTGGATTTATTTTTTTCTGCTTTCAACTGTATCCTACTTGTCATTAGTGAGTAGTATGATCACGTCTTTTTGATGTATTTCTCTAGAATTGAATTCCGATTGTTTATTTCGCTTAGAATTGTATTCCAATAGGCATACCGACATTACACATGTCTATTTTCACTTGAATCTTTTAATTTACTGAGCCTTTCATCCTACTTCGTATATTTTCTAACGCTTTAGTTAATTTGACTTTCTAGATGGTGTTTTTATGGAGGTTTAACTAACTTCAGCATAGATTACAAAACATGGCGGCCTGCTTAAACCTTGCGCTACCAAAAGCTCCCATCTCTCTGTTGCATCCGTTTTCTCTCATTCGATTCGTTTTAATCGATTAAGATATCACCTCTAACGGTATTATTTACTCTTGTGTGTATTTAAAATGTTTACAAGCTTCTAATTCGCAAGTTCCTAGTAAACTTAACGAAAGGGCTGACTGTTGGTAGCAACGTGTTCTAATGCATGAGAACCGTTCTTCACTTGTGTTCTTGTGTCTCGAAATCAACTGCTGATCATCTTACAATTTGCGGTGACTCTAAACTATAGCAGGGCAAAACGGAACTGCCTAATGAACGGATTAATGCCCTTGAGCAACCAGTCAGATAAGTCTGTAGTATATAGACTGAATTGTGGGCACTGTACACGAATTATGCAGTTAATTCTATCTGAATCTAGTATTTAAGTAGTGCTCAGACGACAGGCTCATTAGAAGGGAGGAAACGTGTATCTAGCTGTTATTCCTGGGCTGTTTTGACAACGGGGTCAATCATACAGACGATTTCGTTAATCGTTTCTATGGCACCCACGCAAATTCCATCGAAATTTTCTAAGAACACTTAGAAAAGAGGATGAGAGCGGTGAATGGGTGGGTCAAGAAACACGATAATTTAAAGTTATCTCGACGAATTCATGTACAGAAATTGGTTTAACCTAACTATGAGGACTCCTAAGAAATATTGAGAGGTTTTCTTACAGCGTACACACGAGAATGTTACCCTACGTAACTACTTTTTAACATTGCATTACTTGTATACAGATGTTTATTTAAAATTACGCACTTCTACTTCTGATGCATCTAATTGGTCGATAAAGATTTGTCAAGGTCTCTATTAGGTAGCTTCGTTTCGGCCTGCTATGGTTTAGAGTCACCCAATTGGCTTTCAACTAGATATTGTGGATGGATTTCTTGAAGGGGACAAAGGAGATATATCATAATGGAATGGTTTGTGCTTCATCAGCTCAGAGACCATTGTGTCACACACAGGATATACTAGTGTTAATTAATATTTTACTTGAAGATATTAATTGTACGAAAGAAAAATATCATGCAATAAACTCCTGTGAAAACTCCCTACATTTAGTAAATGCTGTCCTGAATAAAGACGTTATTATTATTATTACTATTAACAGACATCAGCTAGAGAGCTATCGAATACGTAACAGTATTTACTGAGTGTTTCCTGGTTTTGATTGTTGGGGGAGTTTGAATTTACAATAAATGATTCACTTCCTAGATAGTGTCATAAACACCCAAAAATTTCACAAATGGATGTTTTCAAATTAATTGATCACTGGTGTGATTCAATAATACAATACTTTATTTTAAACGAACCCTCTCCCTTCTGTAATTAGAGATATTATGCGCACCTTCAATGTTTCACCGGAGAGGAAACGTCAGTTGATGTGGCTTTGAAGCGAGGTGTGAAAACTGTTAGTGGTAGTCAAATCAAAACATGGCGTCAATCCATTAATTCTTGTGCTGTCAGTTTGAGTCATTTAGTGAAGTGTAGGCTGCTTGAATGAGGTCCTCGAGACTGTGAGAACACATGGCTGGATTGCTGATGGTGGGTAATACGGCTCGAGATAAATTTCAGTGGTGCACATGCATTTACCCTTTGATAGCTCCTAGACCGGTATAGTTTCATTTTACGGGAATTATTTGTTTGAAGTTGTGGATTTATGAAGAGAAATGCAAATATAATCATTATAAGTTTCAAGTTTTGTAGGGATTTTGTTTGATTGGTTGGAGGATTTCATCATGAACTGACATCTGTTAGAGGACCTTTGGAATTGGCATAAGTTGGAATTCATGGGCCGGCCATTGCTTCAGGTCCCAGTGGCTTAGTCATCTACGAGCTAGTTAGCTCACCTTGTAGCCAGAAGGTCTTGGATTCAAACCCTGGCGGTGGGTACATACTGATGAAGAGTCCCAAACAAGCAGGGCAAAACGGCTGTCTAATACTCCCTGCAGGTTTTCCAATGGTTCTTTAACTGATGTCAGTTCATGATGAAATCCTCCAAATAATCATCATGATATGCAACTTGACGAGATGCATTTCTCGAAGTACTATTTAAGTTGGCGCCCTTAATTGCAATTTTTCTCCATCACTTCAATTACTGTACTGCACACAGAGATAATTTTACCACATTCAGTCAGTTGATCAAACGACGACGCTTTCCAGCGTTGAACAGGGCTTCAGGTGTTTACGGGCGAATTACAACCTATATTTGTAATAAAGGTCGAAAACGTGGAATACTGAAAAAAGCCCCACAATGAAAATAGTTTTTATGGAGGATTTCATCATGAGCTGACATCATTTAGAGAACCATTTGAAAAATACCAGGGAGTACTGGACAGCTGTTTCATCAGCCTAGTTTAGCACTCTTGATCAGTACGCACCCACTGGGGTTCGAATCCAGGACCTTCTGGTTACAAGACAAGTGAGCTGGTAGATCATTCAGCCCCTGGGACCTGATCCAATGGTCCTTGAATTCTAACTTCTGCCAATTCACGACACGGCGCGACCATTTCGCAATGTCTTCTTCGATGAGTTACTGCCTCATTTTCAACCCGCTGTACCCTACTGGTCACGGCTTCCCACCCCCTGAGTTCGAGCCTTGGTGGGTGCGTACTGAAGAAGAGTCCTAATCCAGGACAATGGAAACAGCTGTCCAGTACTCCCAAATGGTTTTCCAATGGTTCTCTAACTGATGTCAGCTCATGATGAAATCCTCCATCCAATCAAACACAATCCCTACAAAACCAAAATCTAAAAATAGTTTTTCTTGCAAACATTTCTTTTTCAACCAATTCCTGCACTTTTCTTCCATCTTGTTTTCTTCCTCACTTCATTCCTTCTCTTCTCCACTATTTCATTCGTTCCTCCTGTATTCAAGATTCCTATACAAAACATCAAACTGCATACTATTGATAGATTATTGTAAGTAGTAAACATTGTTTAGTCTAAAAAGGTTATTAACCAAAACATTAAATTTACTGTTTATGTATCATTTCGGAATATTTAATAGAAGAAAACAATGCAGAAGATATTCTCAACTTACATAATACTTATTCCATGCTAAATCACGCATCTGACATATTTTCAGTCGTTCTTCTAACAACAGTGGAGTTTCACCTAATTTCGATTGCCATCTAACTTGATTACGTTGTTCATCAGTAAAATTTTGATGTACCATTGCTTCAAAAGCTAATAACTGGAGAAGTGAAAGGAGAATAAATGTGTTGTTTTTATTTTATGAATAAGGAATCAGTAAATGGTTGAGGTGATAGTTAAAGGGCAAAGTTATCTGAAATATATCTATGCATGGGTTAGAGGTTCAGTGGTAAAATGAACGACTACCACGCGTGTGGTACGGGTTCATTTTCAGGTCGACACACTCTCAAATCTTAGCGGAGGTTGGCTATGATGCTAGTAAGACTATCACTACTGTAAGTTGAGAGCCTGAAATTTGAAGTCCTATTTACTAGTGGGAATGAAAAGGAATGACGAGTGAATTGACTATTTACCGCACTTAAATTCGATTAAAACTGCCTAATCAAAGAAAATCCCTACAAAAACCGATACTTGAAAATCAATCTGATGCTCATTAGCGACTGGCCCTATTCAGGCAATTAATCTGGGATTCTAGCGGGAAGCCGCGACCAGTAGGGTGTAGCGGGTTGAAGGTGAGGAAGTACCTCGTCGAAGAAGACATTGTGAATTGGTCGCGCCATGTGATGAATTGGCAGAGGTCAAAATTCATGGGCTGACCATCGGATCGGGTGGCAGTGGCTCAATGGTCTGCGAGGTAGCCCATCTTGTAACCAGAAGGTTCTGAGTTCGAACCCTGGCGGTGGGGTGGTTTCGTACTACTGAGGAGTCCCAAACTACACTGACAAAACATCTCTCCAGTACTCCAAGCTGGTTTTCCAGTTTTTCTGCAACCGATATCAGCTCATGATGAAATCCTCCAACCAATCAAATAACATCCCTACTACTAAAACCAATACTTAAAACCGCCTGCTTTAGGCATGAATCAAGTTAAAGTATAACAAGAATCACGAAAGAACTCTTAAATGAACTTGAAGTAACCAATCACATCACTAATCATAAATATCATGCACATACGGAATCTGATTCGACCGTTCTATAAATTACAATATGAGAAATTGGAAAACTATTTTATAATATCGCACCTTGCATCTGTTTTTAGGTTAATTCCTTTATGTTGAACCGAAATGCTTGGTCTCTGTTGACATGCCACGTCCTAGTACAGAAGCTTTGACGATGTCTGAAGATGAACGTGATGTTATTTTGGTTGATAGTGTCTAGTAGTGGAAACCAAGATGCGCACTTCGTCCATTGGCAGGGTTCACGTCTTATTGGGGACACTATCACTCACCAGAAAAGCCGGTAAATCCAGACGATAAGTCCCAGATACGACGAAAAGCGTATCGTGAGTTGCACAGGTAGTCATCACTAGCCAAAATAGTAACCACTATCAGTTTCAAGATACAATTTCTTGATAAATGTATCAACTTTAGTGTTCCTTAACCCTGATTGGTTGTCTGCTAAGGGTAATTTAGTTTAACTGGGTCATGACACAAAAGAAAAGTATGGCAAGTGGTTCAAAAAAGAGTCTCTTATTAGTGGTATGGAATATAACTTTTAGAATATCACCTATTGTAGTTTTTTACAGTGTTACAGGAAGTCGAAATCTGGTGAATGGTTCATTTAAACAGTCTCCTAATGCAGCATCATTGTTTCATTGGTAGAGTATTCACCATCCATTCACGTTGTCCGAGGTTCCATTCCTTGCCAACCCACTTCTAAAACTCACCTAGTTAACAAGTAGACAGTACACTGGAAAAGAAGAGAAGGTTATGTGTAAGGCTAGTAACCTCACCCCACCACTACTGAAACCTCAAAAGACTTGGAGTCGTATATTCCTCTAGGAACTCAAATGAATGAAGAATAAGACTGTAGTATTTAAATACACTTAAGGTTGGAGATACTTCTTGCTGACGACAGCCATAAAATCTACTTCCAACAATCCCTACCAATCTCCATTCCTAACGCCTTAATATTTCTTCATGTCTTGGGGATATCTATTTCGAGTGTATAGTTCAGTTCACTATACAGCAAGCAAAAACAGTCATCCAATCCATTTAATATTGTACAGCGTCGGAAACACGTGTATTACGTATTGCCAGTCATTTTAAGTAGGCTGAGTTCCATCCAACCATTTAAAAGGAAAAATATTCATTCAGACATCTATAAAACACAAAATAATCGAGCAAAGAATATTCTTTTCGATAAATTCCTCTTCCAGGCTCTACAATTATATATATGTTTATGTACACAGAATATTTTAAAGTATGATCAATGCTATCACAGTTAATTAAAGATGCTTAGATTATAATAATAATAATAAAGATATAATAGCGAATATAATATCAACTAAAATTAGGGAAATTTCACAAAAATTCTGGATTATTCAAACCTGGGTGGCCAAGGTAATGATAATGACTGAACAAACTTCTTTTGGGTGCATAAATTAGGCTTATTAATATGGATCCCCACAGCCTCAGCAATATTTAGTAGTCGAACTCTTAAGGCGAAATTGAGCTTTGTTGGTATGCGGTAAATGACTCTGAAAGCATGATTAACGTCAATCTTGTGTTCTGTCTCCACAAGATGAGACAGAATAGCGCAGCGAATAGATTTCGTTTGACCTTTGCTTAACCAGGCAGGGTGATGTTCGGAAATTCGACACGAAACACGCCTAATTGTACGGCCTATGCAACTAAATGGCTCATTGCACATGAGCAGTTAAATTGGTATATACACATGGAAGAGGCGAAATTAGGTAGTTTGTCTTTTATTCCCGAACGCAGAAGAGGAGTGGTTTTAAAGATACAGCGTAACTCAGCAGCAAGGAATGCTCCTTTTACCGCATTTCTAAGGCGATGTGTTAGTATCTCACTTGTGTTGTCTCCTAGGTACTGCATCTGTAAGAACAAGACCTTTTTGGAACTGTTGGTAACTTGGGCTGTTTTGGTTTCAGATTCATATTCTTATCAATAAACTTTTCGGGATAACCATTCTCACTTAGCAACCATTTAATATTGTTACGCTCCTCGGCAAGACATTCATCCAAGCAAATCTCGCTTGCCCTGTGGACGAAGCACTTTATTAGATTGCATTTGTATTTCAAGGGCACAAAGCTGAGAAAATTTGTGTACTGGCACGTTGATGTAGGTTTTCTATAAACACTTCTTCTTATTGTGCCATCCTCTTTTCTGGTCATAAGGACGTCTAGGAAGGAAGAAATACTAGAGTCTTTTTCTTTCTCAATAGTAAAATTTATTGCAGGATGTACCTCATTAAATTTATCCAGGATGTCCTTTGCCTCATTTTCGTTCTTCATAATCAAAAAAGTATCATCCATGTATCGACAATAAAATTCGAGTTCATTAATAACATCTTTCAAAGGCCCATTTTCTAGTTTCGCCAGGAAAATGTCGGCTAGAATGGGTCCTAGTGGCGACCCATTGATCATACTTTACAAATCGATATTATTTAAAAAAACGCTAATATTGTTATTAACTACTAATTTAAAATATTCTGTGTATATAAACATAAATATAATTGCAGAGCCTGGAAGAGGAATTTATCGAAAAGGATATTCTTTGCTCGATTATTTTGTGACTTAAAATGAAATCATGAATAATTCCATTATGGATACAAATTTTATTTTGATAAAGTCACACAGTAGGTAATGTTTACTGATAACCACGTTTCGATCAAAATTTATTACTACTGCTCATAATCATATCAAGGTACTCACTCACACAACTTGCTTGCTTCATTTATATACATGAGTCCTAGAACAAAGCTGTCCATTGAGAAAATTATTTTAGGAATCAAGTTATGCCTCACATCTACTTACTGTCTTTTAATTCCAGAGCAAAATATATAGACAGAAAGAAGTCCTAATTCATGTTATTCCGAAAGAATTAAACATATACCTTCCCGTTCTATAATCTAACTGATAAAACTAAACAGCGTGCTATTAATCTGTTTCTTCGTAAAAACATTTCTCCTTTCTTTATTATGGTATTTAATTCACGATGGTCGGGGTTCGATTCCTGACAGCCATAGTCCTGACCACCTAGTGGCTTACTAGACGATAGTAAGTTAAGTAATAATGGAGAGTTGGCAGTGAGGCAAACAACCCCACCCTTTACAAAAAACAACACCATGGCCACTGAAACTTCAAAGCTTCAAGGAGGGAGCTCTATGTTCCATTATGAAACTCAAAGAAATGAAAAAGAAAGCAACGGCAGAAGCTATAACCTGCATTTCATACGATTCAGAACTTATCATCTGGATGTATGTGCATCCTCGACGATTGAAAATGTTGCTGTTGAGACTGTAACCCAGCAGCAATTTTTTTGAAATGTCAAAAAAATTCCCAAGGAAATACATATAGTCATAAAGCAGTATTGAAAAATCATTGTCACACAAAATCGAAGGCTTGCAGGCGAAAACCAAAAACTGGCACAAGAAGCTGGCAAGCAAGCAGCGAAAACAGGAATCCAGGTGAATATAGCAGTGGTGAAAATAATCAACCAACAGCAACAGCAACAACAAGCACGAATCACTGTCAACAGGGTAAATTTGAAAGTGGTCACTTCCTTCATTTATCTAGGAAGCAATGCTTCAACCTCAGGCGGAAAAGCAAGATGTACCTTCGTCACTCCGAAATCAGTTCAGAAACCTCCTACACTCAGCATAAAGAAGCAGATTAGCATTTTCAACACCAATGTGAAGTCAGTCCTTTTAGATGGCTTAGAAACATCACGAAAAGCATTTACAACAAGTTAGAGAATTTTATTAACAGCTGCCCCCTTCACTGGCTGGCTCCATACTGAAGATCAAATGGCAAGCAAGCCAGGAAGAATTAGCAACAAGAAGTTATGGGAACAAACAAATCAATAATCTATCGTTCAGTAAATATGTAGGAGGAAAAGGAGATGGATCCGGTACACCTTTCTGAGGAGACCATCGAATGACATCGTGCGAAGTGCAAGCCCTCGCCCGAAAGGAATCCCAATAGGAAACTGCGAGGGGGTTCTCAGTGCAAGGGAGACATGGAGGAGATCATGTGGAGAGGAGGAGGAAGTGAGAGATTATGGTCAATCGTGGAACCGGATGAAGAGGACAGCGGAAAATAGAAAAAAAGTGGAGATGTGTTATTAAATCCCTAAGTTCCACTCGGGACCCAAAGGAATATTAGTGATAATAAACAAAAAATCATCCCCATATAATCTTTGAAATGGCTTTACTTACCTTTTGTTGCCTGTTTAATTCACCTGAGGTTGTTTTATTACTTCTTTGACTTGAATTCATTTTATCATAACTGCCTAATAGAAATTTTACCAAATGGTGTGGACATGTCATTTCAGGTAATTTTTCACTAATATTTCTTTTCTGAAATAAGGAATAAACAAGCAAACAAATAGAAGGTACAAGTTAAATATTTAGAATACAATCTTTTACTAAACAGTTATGTTAAAGAATTACGGAAAACAAAGAAATTTTTAAAAAATGAACGTTTATGCTGTTGTTTTGGTCTTCAGTTTCATATTTTTTAGAATAATACACGAATAATTGTATTTTTCGCGTACATAGTGTGTAATTCCATATTAGATAATTGGAGGCAATCGATAAGAAGCTATGGACCTACGTTTCGTGATAGCTGTCTGACACTTGTCATCCGTATGTGTGCAGTCTTGAGGGAACCCATGTCCCTTATAAGAATGAAACTCGTATCACTCAGTGTGCTGTAGGAGGAGACGTTAACATTGAACTATTTTTTGGTATTCCTTTACGTTCTCATTGGAACATAGGGCTTCAAGCGAGAGAGGTTTGAAGTTTCGGTAGCAGTAGTGTTTATTTTTACAGGATGGGGTTTCTAGCCAGCCTCATGGCCAACCTTTCCTCTTTAACAATCTTATTACTGGCTTAGCGAGGTAAAGGAGTGCGTCGGTGGCCATGGATCGAACCCCGGACCATGTGAGGTGTGGTTGGCGAGCATTCTACCGCTGTGCCATCGACGCTAACGCTGAACTATGCTGGCTGCATATTAGTTTGTTTATTGGTTATATTACACAACGAGACAATATGACGTCCTTGATGACGTTTCGAACAAAATTTATTGTTCATAATCATATCAACTGTCATAGTATGAAGTCAAGAGATTATATTAGCCTGTGAGCAACATCCGTTCCAAAAGGTTTTAATAGATTGGCAGAGATTTCATAAATATTTTTTTCATTTAAGCGTCGGTGGCTCAGCGGTTAGGACGCCCACCGACCATGCACATGGTCTGGAGTCCGATCCCCGGCCGACGCACACCCGATATCAATGGCCTGCAAAATTTGGGCCACCGGTATCACATGCTGAAAATTCCATACTTGTGTCAAAAACACTGTGTGGAGTCAAGCTACAATAAAATAAATAAAATAAAAAATACAACTGTTCTCTTTGATAATTCCTTGGATGGGAGCAATTTGTACTGCATCTCGGTTTCAGTGGACATGACGTTATTCACTGCGATGCTCAAATACTGAAGTGACGAATTCTGTTAGTAAAAAAAGTCTTTATATCTGCGACTACAATTCAAAGATGGTACACGGAGCGAAGTTATAACCAACAAGTTAAGAAAATCAATTCAAAGGGGGTTTATTGCTGATAATCTGCAGCTTATATTTTCCAAAAGACCGATTATGATTCCGAAACTGAAAGACGAAGTATCTGAGCCAACCATCTCTTACTATATCTAACAATTTAATTCCTCCTGGGAGGTCAGTTATATTGGCCGTAGCACTAGGAACTGTGTGGCTAAGCAAAGGTGAAGTTAAAACCAGCAATAGTTCTACATTAGATTGTTTTGTTGCTCCATTTGACCAAACTAGCGCACACGTATATCCTAGTGTAACGACAAGAAGACAAGGGTCACCCAACAGATCGTTTATTGAGAAAATCAGCAGAATTTTATAGATTTTCATGTACATTATTATTCGTTATTATTAGCAGGGAAACAGCGTCTTCTGATTGGTTGTTTTCCTGCTGAAGGTTATTCTGTCATCTCTTTGTTACCGTTTCTTAGACAATCCGTTGATATATAGCTGCTAATAGTATCCGCCCACGCTGTCTGCTGTAATTGCTTGTTGAGTTCCTTTAGGTTAGGTTTTGTTTTTGTTTTTTCTCATGAACAAGATTTGGGACGTAAACATTGACTTAAATCAAAAGGCACTTGAGAAGGAGTATGAACGTGTATTCTCGCAGTAGTTAAAAATTCAAAAGTCGAGCAAGTACAGTGCATCAATTGTTATCATGCAATCTTTAGAGTGATAAACAAATCAAAGAAGTCCAATTACAACGTAGTGAAAGTATAAATAATACGATAATGAATAATAAAATGGGTCACAACAAGATCACCTCCTTCAAAAGCAGCTACAAAGTTAGCATTGTAGGGACTTTCTCCATCATCTATAGGATATCGAATAAATTACCAATGACCACTGGAGATAATAAACACCACAGACAGCAGAGCACATTACAATTCGCTTAAAACAACTAGGGATCTCCGCGTTCAAAAGAAACACATCAAACCAACAACGAAACAACACAGTCTGTAAACTTATAATTTCCATAAGATAGCGTCGGTGGTGTAGCGGTTAGGACGCTCACCGACAATGCACATGGCCCGGGGTTCGATCCTCGGCCACTGACGCACTCCCTTACCTCACTAAGCCAGAAATAATGCCGGTGAAGAGGAAAGGTTGGGCATGAGGCTAGCAACTCCATCCTGTAAAATAAACACTGCTACAGAAACTTCAAGCCACTAGCTTGAAGCTCTATGTCCCACTGGGGAACGTGAAGGAAAAAGAGAAATCCCTAACATACTTATTTATACATCATAAAATCCTAGAATCAAAATGTATTAGTTATTCGTTTTACTTACTTTTAAAATTTGTAATTTCTGTGATGAACACTTAAGTTTCATTAATTTGTAAGGATATTTTTTAACGCTTAATTCTTGACTCAAATCATCCTGTGTATCAAGAGGATCCATGAAATGATTTATCTCTTTACAAGTTATTGACAGGCTATTTAAAATAGGAAGAAGAATAAACAAATGTGAACTTGTTTAAATATAATAACTGAGATTTAAAGTTAATTTATAACAAGATGTGTGAAGCTTAACACGATATCTTACAATCCCGTTCAAATGTGCCTTCGTTTATTACTATTTTCAAGAGTTAGTCTAAAGGGATTTGATGTGTTTCAATTGTGATCATGTGTTCATATCATGCAGAGAAGTGTGGAAAACCAGGGAGTGTACTGGATGTCTGTTTCGACCTTGTTTGGGACTCTTCAGAAGCACTCAGGACCTTCAAGTTACGAGGTCAAACTCGTCTACCACTTAGACATTTGGGCCAATATTCAATGACTTGTGAACTCTGCCTTCTGTTCTTTTACGGTTTTAGCGTGACCGCAAACCAATATCACGATCGGCCTGTATTTATCCTCACCATTTTACATATTACGCAACTATTTTCTAATCCAATACAGTTTTGTTTCTATGTCCTTTGTGATCTAAATTCCTACCTTCAAGTTGAAAATTTTTATATTCATTAGTCTCCTTTCGTTAGTATGTTAAATTACACAATAATTGTGGGCTATGTGAAGTTATGTCAAAAAATGTGAATGTACAGCATTTTTGAAGATAAAATCACCAGAAGATATTTTTGACACTGATTCAGTCATAAGTGTTATCACTGAACACATTGTCAGCACTTCTCACAGTACCACAGTTGACTCATCATCATTTAACTCGCCGAAATTCATAAATGAGAACTAACTGCTTTAAATAATCCTTTCCAGTCAGTTCCTTGCCAACAGCTCTATACTAATATAGATATATTGTCGCAATTGCTGTTACATCCTCATCAGTCAGCAATACCAACTCAACATCAGACTACAACGTAATATAGACGGTATAAACTACGATTATTATTATTATTTCCTTTAGTTCCTAGAGGAACATAGGGCTTCAGCTGAACGTCTCTATGGCGTTCGGTTCTCCGTCAACATTTTCACCTGACTCCACATCTGCCCGCATGCTTTCATCTCCTCTTCACATCACCTCCTCCTCCATGTCAACCTCGCACTGACGACTAACTAAGTCACCGCTTCCGACTCGGGTTCCACTCCAGCGATGGCCTGGAGTGTGATGTCACTCAATTGTTCGTTTGTTTCTCAAACTATGGCCAATCCACCTCCATTTATTCCTGTATATTTGTTGCACAGTCGGTTCCTGCTGGGCTGGTTGGTTCACTCATTGCCAGAGATCCCTCCATGATACTGATTTTTTCTGGCCGGTCATCTCATCTTGAGCAGTATTGAGTGAAGATAGTTGTTGAAGAAGGTGTGTAGTTCACTCGAAGTTGTTCGAAGTGCCCTTCATGAAGCGCCAATTCTCTGACGCGTATATCAGCACTGACTTCACATTGGAGTTGAAAATGCAGATCTTATTTTTCATGCTGAGTAGTGCTGTTGACCTCTACACAGACTTTGAGAGAAATGAAAGATTGCCATACTTTACCGATCTTCGCTTTGATATCCTTAACAGTTCTGTCCGACTGTATTTGAAATGATGCTTCCCAGATAGGTAGGTAGGTAGAGGAGGTTGGTTCATTCAGATTTCTACCATTTATGCTGGCTAATTGTTGTCTCTTCTTGCCAAATCACCAAATTTGTTTTCTCTATGTTCACTTGAAGGCCTTTCACCTCTGGATGCTTCTCCTGCCCACTTGTTGCTTTCCACACGCATATCTTGAAGTTTGTGGGAAATCAGACATATATCACATGGGCGACGACCAGATCCTCCTAGCTGTTTGTATGGGTTCATTTTATGCCTGTTTCCTCACTGCCCGTTGCTGCCTGTCGCATAATTCAGTCTACCGCAATCAGGAAAATCATTGGAGATAGTAGGTAGTCAGCCTTGTCTTACTCTTCGAAAGGATTCCGTGAGTTTACCGTTATCAATTGCTTGCCATGCAGTATTATCGTACAACTGTTGGATGAGGTGTATAATTATTGGCGGCACCTTGTAGTACCATGTACTGTGATGGTAATTGCTTTTAGTCTAACCGGAATCCAAATAACCTGCAGGAACATTCATTCTGTCCATTGTGGCTCAGTGGTGGGGCATTGAGACATACAAGTCCAACATCCATACTAAGGTAGAAGCTATCGGTTGGGAAAAGGTGTCTGTCATTGTCTGATAACTATCAAAATAAAAACGAAATGGTTATTAATCAGTTGCAGATAGCGATCCTCGCGTCTTAAGTAATAAACGATGTCTAGATGATAGAAGACTGTGCTGAACTGCAAGCTGACACTGCATATCTCTTCATTGACAACTGATGCAACTCCCAAACTATATCCTTTTGTGCGTCTGTTACACAAAGTTTCTATTGTCGATTATCACTTGACTATCCCAGCAGCCACAAATCAGTAATCTCCATTCAACTCTACACAAAATCACTCACTATGTGAGTGACTTAGTAGTTAAGGTTTTGAATTCAACGCTGAAGGACATGGATAAGTTCTAGTGGCTGGTAGAAACTTAGAATCTCTCAGATTAAAGATGAATGTTAACTACCACTAAATACACACACATACACACAAAGCAGAATATCCTGATGACTGGTCCTTAATATCTATTGTACAATAGTGAAGATCAGATGGCCGGAAAGGTTAAGCGAATAAGGACTATGACATCGGAGCGGCTAACAGTCTAATGACCGACAAACATACAGAAAGAAATGCAGGCTGACTAAGAAGTTATTCAAAGGAAATCACACGTCAGACCCTCGAATGGGACCCTAACTGAAAGCCGCGAGGGTGACAAGGAGAAGATTATGAAAAGATAAAAGCTTTTGGATATTCCTGGATCCAAATATAAGCGATTCAAGTGAACATAATGCAATGAAGATGTGTTTCTGAAGCCCTATGGTATACTCGGAACACACAGGATGAATAATAATAATAGTAATAATATATCCTAAACAAGTATAAAAAGGTATGCGACGAAAAGAAACTGCTCAATAAAACTGGCGCACATACTCCTCAGGAATTCCAGGTGCTGCGTTCCCAATAATTGTACAAACCTTCGCTTTAAAGTTCACTTGTGCCACATGTAATTCAAATTTCAATTCACAAGTTGTATAAGCAGTCGGTTGAAAATCAATGCGAAGTTTTGTTATTTGACCAGCATGCAGAACTCCTAGATGATATATATTGAATAATCCAAAGGAAAGGGGAAATAGAATTTTAAAGAATTACCAGCATTGGCTGAAAAATAAACTCTTACATCAACTGATTTTGTCATATCAGATTGTAGGATCAGCATATCCATAGTTTGATTGCATGGGGGATTTCATCATGAGCTGACTGACATTAGCTAGAGAACCACTGGAAAACCACTAGGGAGTACTGGACAGCTGGTGACGGCATCCCACTAGAACCACAGGTTAACTGCCTGAATAGGGCGAGTCGCTAGTGAGCTCAATGGTCTACGAGCTCGCCTTGTAACCAGAAGGTTATGGGTTCGAACCCCTCAGTGTGGGTGCGTACTGCTGAAAAGTCTCAAACTAAGGATGAACCAGCTATCCAGTACTCCCAGGTTTTCCAGTGGTTCTCTAAGTGATGTCAGCTTATAATGAAATCCTGTAACTAATGAATCAAATCCCTACAAAAACCAATGCTTGAAAATATTCATAGTTGTATGGAGGAACTTTTACCCTGTTTAAATAAGCGAGAATCAGGGTAGTGACGTTTACATACATACAATGAATGACCATTTTAGCGATTCAGTTTGTTCATGAAAATTAAGGAGTATAAGATCGCTGGGGTATAGGCTGCCCATTCCGAGCTATTGTCTGCCTCGCCGAGTAATATTAGCTGACATATAATTAGGCCTAAAAAGAGTCAGGAGTGGTCAAATCAAAGCATGGCACCAACCGATCTAGTGACTACTTGTTACTTTGAATCATGTAGAGAGGTTGTTTAATACTTAAGTGAATCAAAACTCGAAGTATTTTGACGAAATAGGTTTAAATTGTTCATGAATGGAGCATAGATATTCACTGTCTTTCATCCCCCAAATACAAGTGATTTCTAGTTATTTTTATTTCGTTGTTATGTTTGTCAATTTCACGTTTCTATAACCTTATATTATTCATTGTCGAACTGAATGACTTAGCTAAAAGACCGAAATATTCATTGATTCTTGAAGAAAATAGAAGGCGATTTAGAGAAAAGAATTTTCAACATCGACAAAGTCATCTCCAAAGAATGTACGATTTTCTGGACATGTACCAAAACGCTTATGTCTAAAAGGAACAGATGCCTTGAACAGTGCTATCACCAGGTATTTCCTTGACACGGGTCATGAGATGGACGTCGGAAAGTTGTTCAAAATTATCAATAGGCAAAAGAGTTCAATTCTCCTCAAGTTCGCTGAAGCCATTTCCATCAAGCACCGGAAACCTGATTTGTGCGTTCAGAAAGAAGCGGTTATCAGTCTTTCTTTGCCCAGCCTGGTAACTGGATATTTCACCTCTCTTTCGTCTGAATGTGTAATGCTGAAAAGTTTCCATTGTGTATGATTATTATTGTTCGGAATAGTGTTTAATATTATTACATATATATAATTACTGTATGCATATATTGGTCGATTGATTTTTTGTTTAAAATGAACTCTGTGCAAGTATGTTAAAACTGTTTTTGTAGGTATATTCAATGATGTCTTTGGCCTGTAAGCAGCTGACGAGAAGGCAACGAAATGAAAGATGGTACCAATTTATTCTGCTAAAACTGTAGTTCTTGCTTTGTTCAAATTCCTTAAGGGGAATAAATGTTTGGAAGCTGTATTTACATTTGCTAAAATTTATATGAGTCTATCATTCCATAACAGAGGAGTAACGGAAGCGCTAGAAACTGGTCACTTCAATCTTGAAACCTGTGTATTGAAACGCCTTGTCAAGTCTTTCATTCTGCCAACATTTTAAACTTCTCTGTCTACCTGTTGGCTGCTATTTTTAGTATTTCGTTGACTGTTGTCACTTTTATATGTCTCGGTTGTACATTTTACTTAGGTAGAATTTTATCCTCACCTTGTTTACACTTGTCAAGTGAACACGTAAACCATTTCGCTGTTCATCTGATAAGAATTTTCATTTTATCAAATTTCTTTCCTAACTTTAAGAGGCACTTCTGAGTAGCAGTGCCAAGTATATCACATCCATTAATACCCAATGACAGACAGTAATGCACCTCGTTTAGTATAAATACAAATCTACATTCTTTGAGGATCTGGACTTCGCGGAGATGATTTATGTCTGATTTCCCACAAACTGGAAGATACGCAAGGGAAAAGCAACAAGTTGGCGATAGAAGAAGCATCCAGAGAAGATAGGACTTCAGATGAACATAGAGAAAACAGAGGTAGGTGATGAAGATTCCTGGCCAACACCACCAACAGCAACAACAACAACAGACAGCCATCAGCATAAATGGGGGAAATCTGAAAGAAGCAACCTCCTTTACCCACACACCAATCTACCTGGGAAGCATCGTTCCAACTACAGGCGGCGGAACTGATGAGGATATCATAACGACGATCAGGAAAGCAAGACAAGCTTTTATTTCTCTCAAGTCTGTATGGAAATCAACATCACTCAGCATGAAAAACAAGATCTGGATTTTCAACTCCAGTGTGAAGTCAGCGCTACTTACTATACGGATCAGGGACTTGACACGTCAAACAAACTACAGACCTTCATCAATAGCTGCCTCCACTCAATGCTACTCAAGATGAGATGGTCGGCCAGAAAAGTTCAGCAACAGGGAGGGATCTCTGGCAATGAACGAACCAAACCAGCAGGAACCGATTGTGCAGCAAATATCCAGGAATAAATGTAGGTGGATTGGTGGCCATACTCTGAGAAACCAAACCACCAAGTGACTGACATCACACTCCAGGCCATCGCTCGAGTGGAACCTGAATGGGAAGTCGCGAGTTGGTCGTCAGTGCGAGAGTGACATGGAGGAGGAGATCATGTGACGAGAACGTGAAAGCATGTGGGCAGACGTGGGGCTAGGTGAAAACGTTGGCAGAGAACCAAACGCAGTGAAGACGTTCGGCTGAATCCTTATGTTCCTTTAGGAACTAAAGGAAACAATAAATACAACAATACATTTTTTGAAGATTAGTCTGTCGATAAAGAGAACTTTTTTCGCTGAACTGTCTTTTTCATGTGTTAGTTTGCAGACATTTGACTGGTTACAACTTTGGTCACGAGTCTAAATCAATCAGATATCCACTGAAAATCACGAGATGCTAAACAGCTGTTTCATCCTGGCCCCATACTCTTTATCAGTGCACACCGAAATGACCCACCGGCGGTCGAACCGAAGGCCTTGAGGTTATTCAGAGAGCTAAATGGACATTAAGCTACTGAGATGGAATCAAATGGCTGACCCATGAATTCTAATTTCTTTTATTTCCTTCATGACCCCTTTCTGACTGATTTCCTATATTAGTTGGTCAGTTAATAATAATAATATCAACCAATTCATTCCAAACAATAATAGTAGTCATACAGAATGAAATTTTTAGCGTTTTCATACACATTGTAACAGTTTAGCTGCTTTTATAAATATGCACATGAATAAAATTTAAAATAGTAATTACAATATTAACAATTAAACCACTTTAAACAGAATGTTGGTGGGAACATAATGAAGTATAAGTAGTTAGATAGTATCATAGATAATACATATAATAATAATCTCTGCTTATACTTTGCAGTTCAGATTACGGAGTTTAAAAGCTTATTTATAAGTTCTTTTCTGACATCCGATTCTTCACACAAAACCCGTGCTAAATGTGCTGGTATGGTAGGATTTTTGTATTCAGTAGCTGTACGAGCGTAAATTCTTATGAAGTTCCTTCTGGTTTTGCCCGAAGAGATACAGGGAGAAGATTGAGAATAAAGAGTACGTTCAGTATCAGACAAGATAACTTTAGCCAAATGCTTGCAAGTAATGAATTTCCTATTGACACTAATGTCAGTTGGTTGAGTCAAAGACACACACACCACTAACCCTACTTACAGTCTTCAGTGTTCTCCGTAATATGACATAAACTTTCTTGAGAAGTCCAGGGAAGAATAATGCCAAACATTAAAGGTGAATGGGCAGAATACATGAATGAACAAATTGAAACAGAAGAGGTTGAGTTATGCAAGCAGAAAGTTTCAACTTCCATATGTAGTAAGTCAAACGAAAAATAGCATTCTTAGATATCAGCAGGATATGAGAGAACCGACAGAGATTCGAAGAGAAACTGATGCAAAGATGAGAGACATTCAATATACTCCTTATCACAGAGCTGTCAATATTTTACTGGAATCATGGGGCTGAATCAATTCACGCACGCAAGTCTAGTTCAACAATATGACATTTAGGTGCATTCAGTTTAAGACCGTTTAAGTGAGATCATTTGTGAACTTCAGATATGAATCTATTCATCATATAAGAACAATCCAATGTAGAAACTACTGGGATAGAAATGGTTAGATCATTGGTATATTTAATGAAGTTAGCTTTGGAAGAATATAGAAGATTATGCAAGTAGAAAGAAAAATGGAATGGAGAGACTACAGCCCTTTGAGGCACAACAGCCTCTGTTAGCAAAGAAGTGGAGCACTTTCCACCCGAAGCAGAATGTTGTTTTCTACCCTAAAAATAAGCGGACAGCCACCCTGCGACCCAGGTCTCAAATACAACGTTTTTTTAGATGAAGTTTGTCTTTCAAAATGCACCAACAACTAAACGTTTTAATTTTTTAATGTCCAGCATCTTCATATATGTCAAAGCAGAAAAGACACTTCAAAATTTATAAATTAAAACTGAGAGAAAGACAGTTTGAAAAATGTAATTGATGAACTAGAATTCTAAAGTTGCCACATGGATGATACAGTTTTGACTATGAAAAATGAGGACGAAGCAAAGAACATCCTGCCTTGATCAATTTAACGAGGTTCACCCTGCAATAAATGTTACCATCGGGAAAGAAAGAGACTCTTGTATTCCTTCATTCCTAAACGTCCTTATGACTAGAAAAGAGGATGGTACAATATGAAATAAATGTAGAAAACCAGCATCAACTGTCACTCAGTATACTCATTTTTCAGCTTCGTGCCTTTGAAATGCAAACGCAGTGTAATAAAGTGCTTGGTCGGCCACAGAGCAAGAGCAATCTGCTCTGATGAATGTCTCAATGAAGAGCTTAATATTATTAAACAGTTGTTGAGTGGGAACAGTGGTTATCCAGGAAAATTCATTCATAAGAATTTGAATCAAAACTCATGACAGGCCAAGGTACCAACAGTTCCAAAAAAGGGTGGCCTTCTTCTTACAATTTCAGTTCCTTGGGAATAACATCAGTGAGATATTAATACAACGCCATAGGAATACGGAGGTATAAAGAGCATTTCGTGGAGCTGAATTATTCTATCTCTTCAAAACCACCCCTCTTTTGCTTTCGGGAGTAAAAGACAAACTGCCTAATTTCGCCTCTTCTATGTGTATATGCCAATTTGACTGCCCTTATGGAGTGAGCCGGTTACTTGCATAGGCTGTACAAACAGGTGTGTTTATCTTCGGATTTCCCATCCTGTAAAGTGGTTAAGTAGGGGACAAATAAAATCAATACATAGCTCTATTCTATTTCACCTTGGGGATACATACTTGGTGGATGCAAGCTCATCAGAAGAATCCAAAACAGAGTTATTCAGTCTCACTCGAGAATTCTCAAAGTTCAAATATGTTACTTGAAGTTAACTGGTGGAAGGTGACTAACAGTTGAATCCATGTAGAAAGCGTATTCAGCTCTATTTGGGGTTCGTCAACCGGATGTACCTGCATTACCCAGTAATGGTATTCCCACTGAAGCTGAAACCTAGTGTCTTTAGTTTCAGTCGCTAAAGCGTTATCCACTAGACCACTTGGGGCAGGACGGCCACCTCTTATACAAGGGGCCTTATTAATTATTTTATTTAAGTTAGATTTTCCCGTCAATTGATTGGATCGAAGTGCTTGGTCCCAGGTTGACATGTCAGCTGCTTGTGCAGATGCAGGTATCAACCTGAGACCGAGCACTTTGAGTCAATCAACTGACGGGGAAATTTAAATTGAATTAAATAGTTAAAATATACATTCTATTATTATTATGGGTGTAGAGCTTTCCAGTCTCTACGCAAACTGAAGAGTTATGAAAAAGAATATGACGCTGACATCTTAAGTAATAATTAACCTGTTTCTAAGATTAACACATCATATATCATATATAACGTTGACCTACTTCATCTCCTCGCTCACGCCGACTTACCTTTAACAGGATGAATTTTGAAACTCGAGTGCATTTGAATTATCTGAATTCGAAACTCAAAATCAACAGCTGATGAAGATTTGATTGGAATGTGTAAAGTTCTCCTTGAAAATGCAAAGAAAAACAAAAGGGTGAATTAAACATAGAGCTATAAAATTGTCTGTAATGTTAAAGTAAAGAAATCTATCAACAATTAAAAAATTGAAGAGGCTCTGAACTACTCATATATATATATATTACTCAGTCAGTAGTATGTAGTTTGATGCTTGACTTCTTGCCGATATATGGATGATACCTTCGTTCTTTGTGATAATGGTTCTGATAGGAGTACAATATTTACTGAATTCAATAAAGTACATTCGGCTATGAAATTCACATGCGAAGAGGAATCCCAAGACGGAATTGCATTTCTGGATGTCCTCCTTACAAGAAAATCAAATGGTAGTATAAAAAGAAATTTACGTAGAAAAAGTACTTGGACAAGACAATATACACATTTTCACACCTTCGTTCCTATCAAGTACAAAAGAAATTTAGTGAAGACCCTCTGCCACAGAGTTAGACCAAATGCTCAGAAGAAGTAATTGAAGATTAATTAAGCATTGTATATGATACTTTGATTGAAAACGTACGTGGTGATTTTTACTAATTTTGGTTTTCAAAGGAAACTATTCTGAAATTTCACCTTCAAATGTATAAAATTACAAATTGTGAATATGATTGATTTAAGGTATTACTAATTCGCTCAAGTAACGCTCAAGTCAGAACTCATTGGGGGTTTGAATTAATTTCCTTCTCTGAGCTGAGTCAAGTCCTCGTATACTGCTGATGATGACTTCGACCCAAAACAAGTGTGGCAGTTTTAAAGTGGCAAGCACTACTGGTTAAAGGGCCAGTGCTATAATATCAGTGGTAACGTCTCCGACTGCAGCACTGGGTGACGCGGGTTCGAATCTCAGAAGGGACATGAGTTCCTTCAAGGTTGCAGATACGCCTTGCTGATGAGTGCCAACTAGCACGAAACCTAGGTCCAAGGCTTCCTGCCGATTGCCTCCAACCATCTAATATCATCATAAACAATGTATACCGTGATGGCGAGCTACCTAGAATGGTGGCCACATTACAACCTGACTGATAGAATTCAGTCTGCACCAAAGAGAGGACTAGACGCATCACACTAGTTACTAGTGTCAAATCAAAAATATTATTATTCTCTTGGGTTCCGAGGGGAACATAGGGATTCAATAAGACATCTTCACCTCGTTATGTACTCTGCTGTCCTCTTCAGCTGGCCAGCTCTAAGATTGACCATAATCTCTCATCTACTCCTCCTCCAACTCACACGATCTCCTCCATGTCACTGTCACACTGACGACGCACTAGTCGTTTCTTATTGGGTTTCCACTCGAGCAATTACCTGCACTTTGCGCGATGTCATTCGACGGTCCCCTCAGTAGCTTGTGCCCTATCCCTCTCCGTCTTCTCGTACATATTTGTTGAACGATCAGTTCTTAATCAGTTAGTTCCCATAGTTTCTTGTTGCTAATTCTTTCTGGCCAGCCCACCGGCCATGCACCGTGATGGCTGGCCATCTGGTATGACACTAGCTAGTCTCCAAACAAAAATATCCAATACAGTCCTACAGGAGGTCAATCACCAGCCCAAATATCTCCTCAATGGTAACATCTCTAACTGCAGCACTGAGTGACGCAAGTTTGAATATCAGATGGGGGACATGAGTTCCTTCAAGACTGCAGATACGCCTTGCTAACGACTGCCAACTAACAGGAAACCTAGGTCAGGTGAGGCTTCCTGTGGCCGATTGCCTCCAAATATCTAATGCCTTAAGTATGTTACAAATATTAGGATACTACTTAATTAGATCTCAGTAATTTGATTGCCTAAGTTAAATATTTGCAAAGTTTGTCAACATCACACTGAGTAGTTCTCATTTATTTTCAGTGTAATGCTATCCTGTAAAAACGTAATCGGTTCTTATTACTACAGGTAATCTGCTTATTGAAATAATATGCATTAATTCGACTGAAAAAGTGTATGACTCTCGAAAGTCTTGAAATCAGATCACCAAGGTATTCTACAGAGGAAATCAACACAACTCACTTTTGTCCAATTGCAGTTGGTTGTAATTCGATGAAATCAGGAAATTCAAAATCACCAATCACAGGATATGCATAAATTGGTACAATTAACTGATTTTCATGATCCTGTTTTTATAGTTTATAGGTGGAAAAAGACAACAACAAAAAATAATGTTTGAATTCTGAGAAATATTCACATACATTGTAACGCTTTATATATATATTTTTCTAGATATATAATTTTGATTTGTTATTGGCTTTGTTGAAGGAGAAGATGAAAATTTCCATGCCTTATGCGTCAAATACTTCATAAAGAAAAGTAATTTCAGAACTTCTGAGTGAAGTTATTACTATTCTCAGTCAAGTTCGCAATGTGGCCACTATGCCACTAGGTGGCTCGCCATCACGGTGCAGTGTGAGTTGTTAGTATTAGATGGTTGGAGGAAATGTGCAGTGCGACATGATGGCCAACCACCTAGTGGCCTGGTGGCCAGATTGCAAACTTGACTGATAGTGTTCAGTCTACACCAAAGATAGGTCTAGACACATTACACTAGTTACTGACCAGTGTCCAATCAAAAGTATCGAATACAGTCCTACAGGAGGTCAATCGCGAGCCCGAATAGCTCATCACTGGTAAGGTCTCTGACTGCAGGATGTACTGGGTGATGCGAGTTTATATCTCGTAAGGGAATCTGTCCCTTCAAGTTTGCAGATACGCCTTGCTGACGAGTACCAACTAGCATGAAACCTGGGTCCAAGGCTTCCTGTCGATCGCCTCTAACCATCTAATACCAACAATTAGTTAGAGAACTATTGGAAAGTCACTAGGGATTACTATATAGCCAGTATTGTTTCGTCATTCTAGTCTGGGGTTCTTCAGTAGTACGCATCCACCGCCAAGGTCCGAACCCAGGACCCTCTGGGTACAAGGCGAACTCGTAGACCACTAAGTCAGTGAGACTCGGTCCAATGGCCAGTCCATGAATTCTAACTTCAGCGACTGACAATAGCCAATGACATCTCTGGCGAGTATTTCTCCTCACGCTCGACCTACTGTAACTCACTGTTTTCCTGGTTCAACGGAGAAACGCAAGAATAATCTAATCTAATTAACTAAAGAAGAGATCAACGTTCATTTATCTTTCACTTAGTTATTATTACCAATCCAGCTTGATCTGCATCGGATTAACTATTAAATGGTCACTTTTATACCCTAACATTTTTAAAGTTTCTTTGGAAACTCTCTAGGAACTTTAAAGCTTAAGTTTTCATTCCTTGAACTTTCATTGTTAATCTTGTTGTTCTTCGCAGGTCCAAATAAAAAGTAAAATTCAGTCGTATATCTACTCAACGAAATCCAATCATCTTTAAAGGCTTTAAAATCAAACTTCAATACAAAGACTAACAAATCACACCGATACTATAGATTCATGTTTGGTGGTTAGAAGCAGTTGATGGGTTTCGTGATTTTCAAAACTTGTTAGCAAAGCATATCTATAACTTTGAAAGAACTTATATTCTCTTGAGCATTCCAATCGCCCTTATGAAGTCTTGAAGTCAAAGACATTATCACTACTGAGTTATTGGCGGAAACAACTAGTATACATTTTAGGCGTTGATTTCCAGAAGCTTGATCACCAACTGATATCAGTTAGAAAACTACTGAAGACGAATCAGGAAGTACCGTATAGCTGTTTCGTCCCAATTTGGGGCTCTTCAGTAGTATACACTCATTATCTCCCATCGATGATGTAACTAAGGACTTTCACATATTAGTATGTTTATTAGATGTATCACACAGTGAAACAGTATTATTTACTGGATGACGTTTCGAAAAAAATTTATTGTTCATAATTATCTCATCAATTGTAATCACATGACTTTGAAACTTGAGTTTTATGGTTTTCTTTATTCTTTCCTATCTGTTGTCGTGGGGGTAGTATAAATCTTCAGATTTCCTGGTGAACAGGTGTTGAACCATTCCTATTACACGTATTCCCTGTCAGTAGATTCGATAAACAAAGCTTTTGTTATCAATCTCTCTCTCCACTCTGTTACATTAGATTTTAAAACTGGCATCTTATCCCATCCAGCTCATTGTATGGTTGTGTGTAACTGTATGTAGTGCTATAGCTGAACTATTCTCTAGATTTATTATCTTATTTGGGTTAACTAATCTAGATTCTGCTAGGATTTTATGCTCGGCTAGTCTGACTGCCCCTGTTCTACTAGTTTGACCTATGTATTTGACCTGACAATCATTGAGAGGCAGGGTATAAGATAAAATAAATTGTTTTGTTTTAAATGATCCTGTGGAGCATTGACCGGAATAAGATAATGAATCTAGAGAGTAGTTCAGACACAGCACTCACTACATGCAATTACACACAACCATACAATAGGATGGGATGGGATAAGATAACGCTTTTAAAATCTAATGAGACAGGGTGGAGGGAGAGATTGATAACAGAAGCTTTGTGTTATCGAAGCAACTGCAAATACGTGTAATAGGAATGATTCAACAACTGTCCAGCCAGATATCTGGAAAATTCTACTACCCCAACGACAAATAGGAGACAACAAAGAAAACTATAAAACTCAAGTTTCAAAGTTGTGTGATTATAAGTGATGATATGATTATGAACAATAAATTTTGTTCGAAACTGTGTCATCCAGTAAATAATAATACAGTTTCACAGTCTGTGTGATACATCTAATAAACAAACTAATATGGAAATACTTACTACCACAGTGCCCAAGTTATACGCATATATTAATAAGGACTTTCTCGTTATTTAGCCTAGTCCATTAATTACTCAGCTAGTGGATTCGAACTTCTGCCTATTCACGACATATATATATATATGTACAGCAAACAAATGATTTACTATGCTGTGTACAGAAATGAAATAAAAAGACAGCATAATACTTCAACTAACTTCAGTATGTACGCGTATACAATCTTCATAATACCGAGGTTCATTGGGCAAGAATGTTACACGACAAGTAATACTGTAACCCGGCACTAAACACTTCTGAATGATAAAAAGAGAGAAAAAAATATAGTGAAAATATTCATTCAGACATCTATAAAACACAAAATAATTGAGCAAAGAAGGATATCCTTTTCGATAATCTCCTCCTCTTCTGGCTCTACAATTATATAGGGATGTTTATATACATAGAATATTCTAGATTAGTAGTCAATAACAATATTGGTGCTTCATTTAAATACTATCGATTTGTTAAGTAAGATCCCAATGGAATTACAGTTCATTAAAGATGCTTAAATAATAATAATAATAAAAATATAATAGCGAATAGAATATCAACTAAAATTAAGGAAATTTCTACTAAAAATTGAGGATCATTCGAACCTAGATGGCCAAGGTAAGGACAATGTCTGAACTAGCTTCTTCTTTTGGACACATAAATTAAGCTTCTTAAAGTGGATCCCAACGGCCCGCCTCAGTAATATTTAATAAACGAACTCTTAAGACGAAGTTAAGATTTGTTGGTATGCGGTAAAGGACTTTGAAAGCCACCTTCTTGACAACAATCTTGTGTTCTGTATCCACAAGATGTGATAGAAAAGCGCTATGAATAGATTTTGTTTGTTCTTGGCTTAACCACCATGCAAGGTGATGTTCAGAAATCCGACGAGAAACACGCCCAATTGTATGGCCTATGTAACTGGATCCACAGGAGCAGTTAAACTGGTAGATACACAAGTAATATATAAACTGAATCTATTAATAGACAGTTATATATGTTGTGGTAATAGTCTACAGTTTCATGTAAATGATCCATACAGTCAGTGAATATTAATTTGAATCTAGGATGATAACAATTAATAACCTAAATTTGTTGCAGATCTATAGGTCAGCTGACAGCCAACAACCACTAGTGTAAGCGTTCGAACCCTAATCCAACTTTCAATATTCGAGGAAGCTGGGTAAGATCATTCAACCTCACAAAATACATATGGGACATTATCAATTGTATGAAAATGCAAGTGGTTACTGATTGCATATTCCGTTCTACTTCTGTTGTGTTTCGATTCTCAATCGTTAGTAAAAGTTAGTACACGTGTGTTGAAAAAATGTATACAACAACTTAATCACCATTTTTTCAGTCATTTAAAGACAATGGTATGAAGCGAATTTCCATCTTTAATGATCATCTGAGTATGACTTGTTTATGCCTGTAATTCCTCAAGTGAACTGAGTAGTTTTATTTCGACTCATGACGATTTCAATATAGAAAAAATCCCCATTTAGACATTTGGAAAACAGAAAGATTGAGCGAAGAAGTATTTACTTTTCAATTAGATCCTCTTCTCTGGCTCTAATATATATAGCATTTTTACAATACACAACAATTTACCAAACAAGTGGTGATATGTTTGTTAACAATAATTAAACAGTGTCAAAATGTCAACGGGTTGATAATTAACGCAGAAAATCAGTACACACTTAAAAAGTAGAAATGGATAGAATAAATTAATTTTACAAGAATAACACGTAATTAAAGATGAAGTGGTCAAAATAAAAATAAAATAATTTGGACAATTATAATTTAATAGGGGGAGGGGGCGACGTAGTCCTGTCTTGTAACGATGGCCAAGGCAAGGAAAGTGGCTGTACAAATTTCTTCTGTACACACAGGCTTGGTTTCTTATGGTGGATTCCGATTGCTTCAGCTGTCTGTAGAAGACGAACTCGTAGAGCAAAGTTAAGATTAGTCGGAATGCGATAAATAATTTTAAATGCAGTATTCACATCAACCTTGTGGTCAGTATCAACAAGGTGTGCTAAAATAGAACTACGAATAGATCTTGTTTGTCCCTTGCTTAACCACGCTGGATGATGTTCAGAAATACGACGATGAAAAGTAAATATTTCTTCACTCAATCTTTCTGTTTTCATGACGATTTCACTAACGGACGTTTCTGTGAACTTGATTGTACTTGTTTCGTGATAGCTGACAATATAATCCTTCACTTATCTAGGAAGCAGAGTTTCAATCACAGACAGTCGGACAGCACAGATGAAGATGTCAAAGCAGGTCAGAATCAGAAAGGTGGGATACATCTTCATCAGCCTGAAACCAGTTTGGAAGTCTTCTGCACTCCGCCTCAGCATAAACAACAAGATTCGGATTTTCAACACCAATCTTAAGCCAGTGAGTTCTTCTATACAGGTCAGAAACTTGCACTGCGTGTGCGTCACGAAAAGGATTTCCAACAGTTCACAGACTTGTATCAACACCTGCCCCCTTCGCTGACTGGCTCCATACTGAAGATCAAATGACTGATAGAAGCAATTAGCAACAAGAAACTATGGCTGGGAATAAACCAACCAATAACCGATTGCTCAACAAATATGTAAGAGAAAATGGAGATGGATCGGTCCGGCATACGCTACTGAGGAGGCCATCAAATGATGTCGCACTTACTGTAGGCCAGTGATTGAGTGGAATTCAAAAGGGAAGCGACGAGTGTGTCATCTGTGCGATGGTGACATGGAGGAGATCGCATGAGTTGGAAGTGAGCTGAAGAGGACAACAGCAAATAGAAGAAATTGGAAATGTGTTGTTGAAGCCCTATGTTCCACTCGGAACCCAAGGGAATAGTAATAGTATTTAAGTAACCAAGAGGATGAAACATCGGAAATGGTGAATGCCAGATTTAGAGTCCAACCAAGAAGATTATCAATTACCTAGGAATCACGTATACCCAACCGACTATTCTTGGACAATGAGTTTGGTTGCTAGCCATCACCATAACAAGTAATTCATCTGTTTGTCTTAGAAATGCGTTAATTGGCAATTGTGTACAGATATGAGTACCAGGCCTTTTCGAATCTTCTGGTATTTTTCATTTTTCCCATGTTTAATATTTTAACATTTTCCCAGTCCATTAGAAGTACATAGTTGTCCGCGTGCATTGATACTAGTGAGTTTATATCAAGTCTTTCAACTACCAGTTTGCATTTTTGAATATGAAGATCAGTAAGTCTGCAGCCGATTCATTCCATCTTATGAAGGATTCTAGTGATGTCATTTTTTTTACTGATGGCTCTTTTAACCCACATAACACGAAGTGAAGTGACTTCGTCTGGAAAAGTAGCAAAGTTAAACTTTAAGCACCACTAACTACCAATCAGCGAATGACCTCGAACGCCCCAATCACGTGAAGGAGGCACTTTTGTATGTGGAATACATACATTTATGAAAGAAATGCATAAAATCTGTAGAAAAGTGTTACAGAGGATATCTTCCTCTCACATGTGATAAAAATAACTCCCACTTTTACGTTGAAGTGTCTACAGAGTATAATCCCGTTGTGGGTAAATTTTATTTTGATAAAGTTTCATAGTGTAATACAGTAATATTTACTGAGTAATAAATTGTGCTCAAAACGTGATCATCAGTAAATATTACTGCATAACACTGTGAGACTTTATCAAAATAAATTTTACCCACAATGGAATTATTCCTCCTAAATGAACGTGATCATTAATGATCACATTCATGAGATGTGCGTCGGTGGCACAGTGGTTAGGACTCTCGCCGACCATGCATATGGTCCGGGGTTCGAACCCCTGCCGGCGCACACCCGATATCTATGGTATGCCTGAATTTGGGCAACCGATATCCATGCTGAAAGATCCACACTTGTACTGAAAATACGGTGTGGAAGTCAAGCTGTAAATCAAAAAAAAAAAAAATGGTCAATATTAAACAAACGAGAATCAGTTTCGATAGTACACTCGCCAAAATCCTCGGGTTAACAACCACATGTTTAACTGAAGCGTATTTAAGGAGAAAATAATGCAAACCGGATAGATTTTAAAGGTACACGTTCGCTTGCCTGACATACGTTTACCCTCTTTCAGGCCCTGGAATAAATACTCCTTTTGATTCTGATATTACCTGCATTTCTTTACTATTGGATTGCTTTTGAATCTGTTAGTCGAGAGGTTTTAAATGGTAGAGTCTTTCATTGAAAAGCAAAATGTGGAGTCGTTTAATGTCAATGACTAATACTTCATGACTGCTTGAAGTAGGCTAGTTATTTTTAAAATTTAAATCAAACTTTTTCCAGAGTGAAGGCGACAGGACATAAAGAAAGCAAATATTTCAATCTATGATGCTGAAAAAAATCTATAGTCTAAGTTAGCTAAGGTTCATTTTAGGCATGCTCATTTATCGCCTACTTATACGCACTATGTTAATTAAAACTGCAGTAAACCAATGAAATAGACAGGATGGCTAAACCAGAAATGCAGTGAAAGCCACTGATTAACAAGCTAAGCAACAGATGAGGTGAGAGTTACCCTGTGAAAATCCCTGTGACCACTGAAAGTTATGACCATAGATCCTAGGTGGTTTCACAAAGAGTTAGACGCACTTTCACACATCACTGTAAATGTGACCAAAACATCTTTTTACTTTACCTTGTTTTCTTCCGACTTATATCCTTTTTTATTTTTTGCGAAACGTTGGGTTGAATACGGATAGCGAGCTGGTGACAGACACGGTTATCACAACTACCACTTGTCTACGCCCACAGCATGTACAGCAGCTCCCTGATTTTTTGGCCTACTACTTAAGTGACAACACACCATAAGGTGACACGGAAGTAAAGTGTTTATTGAAAAAAGAACAATTATTCCTTTGCGTTACGAGAGGAACATAGGGCTTCAGGCATGAGCTGCAGAATTTCAGTGGCTGTGATGTTTCTTACGGAATGAAGTTGCTTACTTCACACCCAACTTTCCCTCTTTACCAAGCTTTCTACCGCGCAAGCGAGGTTTAAAAGTGCACCGGCCGGTGATCAAACGCTGGGCTTGTTAACGTCATTGACGAGCATTCTGTGAGTGAATCACCGACATATATATATATATAACATGGCCAATGACGTAGGTATCAGAAAGGATAATACATAGGTTGTCTATCTAGCTTTAATGAGTTAGCATCATCATCGTTCACTCAATAAGTGTAATCGATAGTGTGGTACATGTAACGCCTGTTCTGGGTAAGTTGACTGTAACTAAATCAACTGCTCTAGCAAAAATAAACCTGCAATAACGTAGCACTTCACCATCACAACGTAATAAATACTTTCTGCTGCCAATATAAGGGGAATGTAATACATCTTCCAGTGTTTTGAGTTTTTATTTTAATTTATACACATTTGAACTGGCTAGAACACCCTTTTTAGCCCTTCTGTTGCTCTGCCAACACTCACATTTCAAGGGATAGTGAATCAGTCATTTTAGTTAGCTAAATTCTTTTCCTTGAATAACTTAACTGCCTATTTTGTTCAAATGTACTCCTCATCAGAGAACATAACGAATTAACTGATTCCATTTTGTTATCAGTGCTTATAAGTTAGAAAGGGTGACGACTGATTGTGTAATTGGGCAAACTACGTTTACTAAGGGCTAGCAAAGTGTAGCTAACTGATAGCACTACCAGTTCCTCACAAATATTCAGCTGACGTTAAGTAAAATTTCTCGAGGTATTGCAGAAGTCATGGCAGCACTAGGCCTTCTCACAAAATACAGGTGAACATTATTCCACTACCTAGCCAGATGAAGAGTTGATAACCAATTATAAACAGAGTACTTACAAACCACAACCATTCTGAAAAGTGTAATGGAATGTTTGAGGTCAGTATGTCCAGGAATACTTCATTCTTCATCATTCAAGTAACTCAACATTATAGTGAAGTAAAAAGTTTAACTTGATTTTACATTCTGGGAATTACACTATCATATTATACTCAGTAAAAGTGTCAAGCTTCTCTATAGATTTCATTTAATTTACATAGTTTGTTTGTCTTTTATGCTTCGAACAAGTGATGAATCATTTAACCAGGTATGCAAATGTTTACTGATGATTGTGGACACTGCTTACAAAGATTTAGTTGCCAAATAATTTAAAATACGCAACAATTTAATTATCTGCTACTCAAAACGTCTGAATGTAGAAGCAACTCTAGTAATAACGATACCTGTAGAACAGTTAGGGTGATCATTGCAACAGAATAGTTATTTTCATATTTTATCAAACAACTACCTATATGCAGGTAAGTGCTCAAAAGTGACATTACTGTAAAGATACTACTGGAAACGAAAATATGTACATAAATACTTGTAATAAAATAAGGGAAAAATTCGTCATTTTGTTGCAATTTAATATACAGATTAAAAATACTCAGTGGTTTTAACGAATTATCTGCACTGGAAGTAATAATAAAGACATAAAACAGACCAAGTGCCTTAAACGCACCATACAAAACTTATTCTGTATACATGTGTGGAAATCAACATTCGTCTTCACATTTCTGTCGACAGTATAACCGATAAAATATCCGTATGCTGGCTGAAAAAACAGGACTAATCGTGGGATGTCTTGCACATAATTATGTGCAAGAGGCTAGGCAAGGCCAAATCAACCTCCCTTTCTCCACGCAAAACAAGCGAATACTATGAGACGAACCGATGGAAAAAATCCAAATGATAAAAATAGTCTTGCCAACCACAAAAGTCATGGTACGAAAAATTGCGACGTTCATAACCAGAACTTTGATAAGCAACAGTGACTGGGAAATACCAGTTATGTCGTTCAATAAAAAACTCACCGGTATTTTATAAGACAATCTGAAATATTTAGTGTCAGGAGGTAAAATATGTAATCTTGTGACACGGCCAGATATGTTTTTAAGTTGAAATTGTTTAACGTCGCTATCTTCTTTTTGTGAGCCAAAGGAATTCTTGTCAAAATATATTTCAGCTGGTTCCACTGCAATAAATCTATTAGAACCTATTTTCCAAAAGATTTCTGAATAGCAGTTACTAGGTTGGCATAAAAAACCCACCTGTGTTAAGAAGATGGTTGGGAGGAGGTCGACATTTATAGTCTTCAACAATTTTTTCCTCAACATCAACCATTTTCCCGTCAGGTTCAAAATGGTTCACGAGTTGTTGTTATGACCATCAAGGCCATTAAATGTCTAATGTCATTTAAACAAGCTGGTGTTCTTTGGAGCTGAATTATGGTTGTTTCAGACCTTTTGCTAATTCAGGTACAACCTAGTACCCTCATTTATTTTAAGCACGCTGGACACAGTGATAGGAGGTATATTAGTTGGTGCCAAGCACTAATTCATTCAGATTCTGATTTATGGGTAGAGGATAGAAGGCTTGGAGCTTATGTTAATCCTTTTCTAGTAAATTTCTGTGGTTTTCCAAACTCTTCTTGAACGAATCAGTTGAGGTTGCAGACACCACTTCTTCTGGGAGTCGGTTCCAAGAGTTTATGACTCGGTGTGAGAACCAGTACTCAACAGCAATATGATTTCTTCTTTGCTTTTGAACTCTCCTGCTATGTCCTCTAAGGTGTTCCGACCTGGTGGGAGGGAAAAGAGAAAATAGGTCAGGTCCGTAGTCATTATTTAAAATTTTAAACTTTGTGATTAAATCTCCTCTCTGCCTACGGTAAGACAAGGAGAAGAGATTTAAACTGTCTAGTCTTTCCTCGTATGATAAATTAGTCATTCCGAGAACCATACGGGTTGCCTTCCATTGAACCCTTTCTAGAGTGTGTGAGTCCCCTTTTAGACAAGGGCTGGCGGCCTGGATGCAGTTTCCCAGTCTTGACCTCACCAGAGATGTATATAAGGAGGTGAACACATCTCTGGTGATTCTAATGAAGGCTATACGAATTGCCCATAATGACCTGAAACTACGTGCAGCCACCGCGCGACAGTGTGTTGTAGTTTTTAAGTCGTGACTAACTATGACACCTAAGTCCAAGTGAGTCTGAACTGATGGAAGTGTAATTCCCTCCAGTTCGTAGGAGCTCGTGCTTGCTTGTCCAATGCGCATGGTTGCATATTTTGCCACATTTATCGGGAGCATCCATTCTATGGCCCCCTCTGACAATTTGTTGAGGTCCTCTTGCAACGTGGACGTGTCACTGTTGCCCTTCAGCTCTCTCCAGATTTTGAAGTCATCTGCGTATAGGACCATGGGGGAGTCGGTGAGCAGAGATAACTCATCGATATACAAAATATATAGGAGAAGTCCAAGCACCGTGCCTTGTGGCACTCCTCTGCGGACTGCTGTCCAAGAGGAGAGTTTCGAGTTGATCCTAACCCTCTGCCTCCTATCTATGAGTAATTCCCTGAGCTAGTTTAGTAAGTTGCCTTAGATACCAAGACTTTCCAACTTCATGAGTAGTCTTTTGTGAGGTACTTTATCAAAGGCTTTGCTGAAGTCTATGAAGACGACGTCAACGGGCCTTCTGTTCTCCCTGGATTTGACCCAGCCTTCTCTTGCAGTGAGAAGATTTGACAGGCATGACAAGTTCGTTCGGAAGCCATGCTGTGCTCCTGATAATAAGGTTCTATTTTCTAGATATGCCATTATACATGTCACCCTCCCTAGGTTAACATCTCCTGCTAGTTCAAATGCTGTGAAGCCCAAGTTATTCGGCAAATCATTTATCGAAGTCAGGAATAACAAGTGAACCGAGAAATTCCCTCTGCAATACTCCTGTAGTTTTCGCTCTCGATGTAGAATGTACTCAGCTCACCTGCATGCGGAAACTCCCTATGACACTAATAGACGACGATTCATGACTGTAAGGGCTTAAAGACACCGGTTTTGCAGAATTTCCAGATAGAAGCTTCGTGTGATAGACCAGAGCTGCTTTGTTGGGTTTGATATTAGAACACATGCACTAGGATATTTTGGTAACAGCCTGCTGTCCAGCTGTTTCAAACTACTAGCCAATTAGTTTCATAATACCTTTCCTTCTTGAGAACATGCTGTGTATCGCGTTGTTTCTATTTAGATTTTACTTTGCGTAATAATCGAGCATGCAGTCCATCGCCTTTAATATCGCTGGTAGTGTGGCTACAGGTCTACAGCACTTCTTTAACGATGGGAGATAGAATTTCTCACTTCCACTCATTCGGTACCAGCTGTCTCTCCAATGAGTACTGAAGCAGCCTATCTATAAGCACATATGTAACTTCATCCAATTGTTTGGGATCTGGAGGTTTCCTGTGGCCACACCTAGAGGACCCTTCTGAAAGTTTTGCTGCATTTTCGAGTGCTCCACTTGAAGTGATATGGAGGAAAGCATACCCTACAATGTTAGGATCCTCAATAAATTGCTACGGTAGACTAATATCATTCACATCCTTCTTATTCAGCCATCTACTTAGAGCAGCTTTTAGGGCTTCAGCTATTTCTATATTATAGGATTGCTTAAGTAAAGTACCCGGCATCTCCACGGGAAAACCGAAGCATGGCGATTGTGGGTTGGTGGCACAGCGGTTAGGACGCTCACCGACCAGGCGCATGGTCCGGGGTTCAATCCCCGGCCGACGCACTCCCTTGCCTCGCTAAACCAGAAATAAAGCTTGTAAAGAGGAAAGGTTGGGCATAAGGCTAGCAACCCAATCCTGTAAAAATAAACACTGCTACAGAAACTTCTAGCATCTAGCTTGAAGCCCTATGTTCCACTGGGAACGTGAAGGAATAAAAAAAGTAAAGTAAATTTTTCTTAACCACCTCGTTATTAATCCATTATGGATAAAATTTTACTTTGATGAAGTCAAACAGTATTATACAGTAATATTTACTGATGACCACGTTTTGAGCACAATTTATTGCCCATAGTCACATCAATCATATCATATCACCTTGATATGATTATGAGCGATAAATTGTGCTTGAAACTTGGTCATCAGTAAATATCACTGTATAACACTGTGAGACATTATGATAATAAATTTTATTCACAGTGGAATTATACTCTACCACAGTGCCCAATTACTATCCCAGTATAACCTCGTTATCAGCTGGGCTGCATATTCGTGTATCTCTGACAGTGCAAAGGGATAGTGGCAAGGTTACTTCTGGTCAGGAGTCAAAGTAAAGCGAACAACATTTATCAAGAACTGGCATTAAAGTATACAGAAGGTTGAGATAATAAATCTGACTAAATAATGACGATTTTCCTGAAGACATGTGCTGGTCATGATTGCAATGGCAAGGGCGAAGCTTGAAGGAGACGGCACTGACAATGCTTTCCACCATCACCTAACCGCAAGGAAGCTAACCATTTTATCTAACTTCTGAGTACTGATTGCCCTCTGAATCGAAAAACGGTACATATTCACGTGGTAGATTTGTGGTTTCTTGACTTGGTTTGCATGTGTAGTGACCCGTTTTATTACTCATCATCGCAATATACTTTCATTGTGTAATTGTACTTCGATTTGTTTATTACTCTAAATCTGGCATGTTAACAATTGATACTTTTTGCACTCGCTCGATTTTTGAATTGTTGATTGCTGCAATAATACACTATCGTATTCCTTCGCAAGTGCCTTTTGAATTACGTTGCGGATGTCGAGTAATCTCAACGTTAGGGCACAATTGTAAACGCGAGGAAGTACTAGAAGATACGTGTACTCTAGTTCAGTCAAAATATAGCAGCAACACATGCAGTCATCGGACTTTGGTATTGCGTAGACTTCTTGAGCCTGAAAATGTCTAGTCTTTAATTAGAGTCTCTAATTGCACCAAGCTATTATTTAGCCTCTAACAACATACTTTGCATCCTTCCTCAAGTGATCTAGCCGGAATGGTTTAAATCAGCTCCTGATGTGTCATTCTTAGTGACATCATGGAAACCAGCCGTTGTTACTGCATTCACCAAGTCCCTGTCGAAAACTCCGCTATGTATGTGTTTCTCAACAATGTTGAGTGACGACACAGTGAGATTTACTTTCGAATCCCATGTTTAGAACCACAAGGATTACTTCCATGCCAGGGATCGATGTGAATTTGGACGCCCTATTTGAATATTAAATAAGTTTATTAAATCCGATACACAGTGACACAGTGTTAAAGATCATAATCCCCTCACCACACACTTCTGTTTTCCATTGGTCGTGGTGGACACTTTATCCGGCTTGAGAAGGCAATGTACTTGTCGATCCACTGAAACTAGTCTTATTCCATTATTTATAGGCTGAATGAAGGGTTGTTAGCATGCTACTCTTGCAGGTGGCCAGTGAATGACTATCGACGATGTAGTGGTGCGTAATTTGCCACAGATGTTAACGGTCTGTAAGTGGTCTGAGCCTTCCTTTGATAACCCAGCTTGTATAGCTGGGTTTATACGTCATGTTGGATGGACACATCAAAACCATGGGTTGGACCATGGTCAGCAATTCCATTCTCTTGTTGCTCTTTTTCTCCAGAAACTTTCTAATTTTTCCTGATACTGTAGATAGGCCATTTAATACTTCCGCGTCTCTGTTGTGGGCAGTTTTTATGCCCATGGCTTTTCCTCACTACACATTGGCTAAATATTTATTAATTTATGTAATCTTCTTTTGAATGACTCAAATTTTTCACTGCATTTCTATCACTTTTTTCTAATCGCATATTTTCCCCGGTGTTTGTTCATCATTAATGAAATTATCGCACTCATTTCCTGTTTCTATACCTTCGCTAATTTGCTGAGGCCACTTTTTCGGGATGCATTCACTAACAGTAGCAGGAAAAATCCATTTAAAAAACTGGGAAGCTAGAAGCTGCACTTTCGGACGCAAGTCAGAGCTGAATAAAGCACGTTGTAAACTTTACAGCGTTACACCCAAACCGGTGGATCTCCATCTAAGTGAGGCATCTTTAGAACCTCCTGCATGACTACCGAGTAGTGAAAAATGTTCCCTGAACTTCGAATGTGTTTCTAACTGCACACATCCAAACTTGGAACACTGTTCTCAGGTGTATGGCTTCAGGAATAATATATTTGAACAGAATAAAAGTTCAATCGATTTTAGGTAAACAGTTTATGAAATTAAATGACTAGTAATGACTTGGCCAGTGATTGTAGGACTGCATGTGCTAATCAGCACAAAGAA